TCTCTTCCATTTGGCTCTTCATCTGTGTCCTTCATCACATCTTTTCATAATAAACCAATGAACATACGTGTTTCTCTGAGTTCTGTGAGCCTTCCTAGCAAACTATTGAGCCTAAGGGGAGAGTCATGGGAACCCCACTTTATAGCCAGTCAGTTGGAAGCACAGGTGACAACCTGGGACTCATGGTTGGCATCAGAAGGTGTCGGGGGAGGCAGTCTTGTGGGACTGAGCTCTTAACCTGTAGGATCTGATGCTTTCTTCTGATAAATAGTGTCAGAATAGAGTTAAGTTGTAGGTCACTCACATGGTGTCTCAGAGACATGCTTGTTGGGGGATAAATCCCCACACAGAAGTGTCAGAAGTGAAGTGTTCTGAGAGGTAAAGAAGTGAATTCTAAAAGAGACACAGGAGGAGAAGTGATTTTTTTCCTACACATGTATTATTGTGATTTTCCCCAGTTTTAAATTGACTTTATCTTTTAAAGCAGTTTTAGGTTCACAGAAAAACTGAGTAGAAATTACAAAGTTCCTATATGCCCCCTGTCCCCAGACATTCATAGAACCCCCATTATACCCTCCACTAGAGAGGAGCATTTGCGAAGTGAACCTACACTGACACATTATAATCACCCATAGTGCATAGCTTACATTAGGGGTCACTCGTGGTGTTGTGCATTCTAGGTGTTAATGATTCATATCCAACATAGTATCATACACTGTTTGTAATAACATCCACTGCCCTAAAAATTCTCTGTGCTCCTGTTTATTCCTCCCTTTCTCTCTAAACGCTGGCAACCCCTGATCATTTTATTGTCTTCATAGTTTTGCCTTTTGCAGAATGTCATAGAGTTGGAATCACACATTTTTCGATTAGCTTCATTCACTTAGTGATATGCATATAAGTTTCCTCCATGTCTTTCATGGCTTGATAGCTCATCTCTTTTTAGTGCTGATACTATTCCACTGTCTGGATGGACCACAGTTTATTGATTCTTTCACTTACTGAAGGACACTTTACTAGCTTGCAAGTTTTGGCAGTTGTGAATGAAGCTGCTATGAACACCCATGTGCAGATTTCTGGGCAGACATAAGTTTTTCATTCTTTTGGATCAATTCCAAGGAGTGTGGTTGCTGGATCATACAGTAAGAGTGTGCTTGGGTTTTTAAGAAACAGCCAAACTGTCTTCCACAGAGGCTGCACCATTTTGCATCCCCACCAGCAGTGAGCAGAATTCAACTCTGCTGCTCCATAATCTCAGTATTTGGTGTGATTGCTGTTTAGGATTTTGGCCATTCTAATAGGTGTGTAGGGTATCCCACTGTCATTTTAATTTGCATGTTTCTGATCACATGCAATGTGGAACATGTTTCATCTGCTTATTTGGCATCTGTATATCTTCTTTAATGATGTGTCTGTTAAGATCTTTGGACATATTTTTTAAAGTAGGCTTTTCATTTTTTTGTTGTTGAGTTTTAATAGTTCTTCTACATTTTGGATAACAATCTTTTATTGGATATTTCTTTTGCAAATATTTTCTCCAAGTCTGTGACTTTTCTTCTCATTCTCTTGACATTGAATTTCACAGAGCAGAAGTCCTAAATTTTAATGATGTTCAGTTTATCAATCCTTCCATGGATTGTGCTTTTGCATTATACATGAAAAGTCACCATACCCAACTTACATCACCTAGATTTTCTTCTATGTTATCTTTTAGGTGTATAGTTTTGCATTTTATATTTAAGTCTGATCCATTTGAGTAAATCTTTATAAAAGCTGTAAGATCTGTGTCTACATTAATTTTTTTGTTAGGTGGATGTCCACTCATTCCCATATATTGAAAAGACTATATTTTCTCCATTGCATTGCTTTTGTTCCTTTGTCAAAGATCACTTCACTATATTTATGGCTATTTCTGGACTTTCTATCCTTTTCCATTAATCAGTTTGGCTTTTCTTTCACCAATACTACATGTCTTGGTTACTGTTGCTTTATTGTAAGTCTTGAAGTCAAGTTGTGTCAGTCCTACAACTTTGTTCTTCTCTCTCAATATTGTGCTGGCTATTCTGGCTCTTTGGCATCTCCTTACAAACCTTAGAATTGGTTTTTCAAAACACACAAAATAACTTGCCGAGATTTTAGTATTGTATTTGAATCTACAGATCAAGCTGAGACCTGATATCTTGACAATATTGAGTTTTCCTATCCATGAACATGGATTATCTATTTATTCAGTTTTTTCTTTCATCAGAATTTAGACATCATCCAGGTCATGAGATTTATACCTAAGTATTTCATTTTTGAGGGTGCTAATGTAAATGGTATTGGATTGTTAATTTCAAATTCCATTTGTTTATTGCTAGTATACAGGAAAGCAATGGACTTTTGCATATTAATCTTGTATACTGCAACCTTGCTCTAATCACTTATTAGTTCCAGGGGCTTTTATGTCAATTTTTTCAGATTTTATAAATAGACAGTCATATTGTCTATGAAGACAGTTTTATTTCTTCCTTCTCAATCTGTGTACCTGCTATTTCCTTTTATTTTTTTCTTGCATTAGGTAGGACTTCAAGCACAATAAGAGAAGGTTGAATAGAGAGGGAAGAGGAACATCCTTGCCTTGTTCCTGATCTTAGCAGGAGAGCTTCCAGTTTCTCACCATCAAGTATGATGTTAGCTGTAGGGATTTGTAGATGTTCTTTATCAACTTGAGTAAATTCTCCTCTAGTCCTAGTTTGCTGAGGGTTTTAATCATGAATAGGTGTTGAATTTTGTCAAATGCTTTTTCTACATCTATGGACATAATCTTGTGATTTTTTTTTCTTTTTGGTCTGTTGGTGTGATTAATTATATTAATTATAATTATATTAGTTGATTTGTAAATGTTGAAACAACCTTGCATACCTGGTCATTGTATATAACTCTTCTTAAACTGTTTTGGATTTGCTTGTATTTTATTGAGAATTTTTGCATCTATGTTCATAAAAGATACTATTCTGTAATCTTCTTATATCGTTGGTTTTGGTTTCCAGATGATACTCTAATGAGTAAGTTAGGAATTATTCCCTCTCTTCCATCTTTTGGAAGATACTGTAGAGACCTGGTATAATTTCTTCCCTTAAATATTTGGTAGAATTGACCAGTGAACCCATCTGGAATTTCCACTGCCTTTCAATGTACACTTCAGCTAATTTTTGAAAATGTTCCATGGGACCCAGTTAAGCCCATTGTAGGCATGTGGAATACCTCATTCTCTTCCATCATAAGCTGCTCTAATTCTTGACATTTATTTCCACTTCTACCTTAGTTTTGTTGTATTTGTCTTGCCAGTGGGTTTCAGCCTCCAACATGTTCACTATGGATTCAATGAGACTGAAAAAATGACAGTGGAACATTCTTGGGGTGAAAGGGTTTGTACCCAACTTTATTGCCATGGTGGCAGCTCAATCACTAGAATCCCATCCACTCAGAGCAAGTCTGTATGCAGCAAGCTGGTCTTTGCCTCTGGGTCTCTCTGTCCTCAGTGCTGCCACCATTCCAATCTCTTCTCTCCTGCAGCCCTGCAGTCATGCAGCAGCACAAAGCACTGGCAGAAATCTTTATATATATATACATATAATCAATAACAACATATTGCCCACACATGTAGTGAGCAAGTGGACCAGGGCCAGGGGAGAATCCTGGCCATAGGAACCTTCACTTTCTCCAAAGTAATATTTTGCCTTCTCCCCCTTAAAGCTATTCTCTCATCTTTCCCCCATTCACCTAACTTCTTTGTTTTACTTTCTCAGAGACTGGTCTCTAGGCCCACTTCACGCAGATCACAGGGATCTGTACTGAAGGGAACTTCAGTCAGCTGCGGTTAGAATCACAGCTTTCTCCAGGCGTGCTGGCTTTCAACATACATCTGGGCCTCCCTTCATGGGCAAATTAACCACCAAATTGAACAGTGGTTTTCTGAAAGCTAAGAGTGCTTGAGAACTGTGCATCCATGAGGCACTGTGTTAGGAAGCTTGTTGAACCTTACTTTAATGCTCACAACAGCCCTTGGACAGTTCTTTCCATTTGATGTAAGAGGAAAGTGCTTAGAGCCTGGCTCCATGAGCTAAGTTAGCTGTGGTGAGCTAAGGTTGCCAGTTGCCTGAACCTGGGAGGGTGTGCGTGTGCTCACATAGTGTATAAGTCATATTTAATTAAACATGTTTTTTGCTAGATCTGACTGGCAATTTATACTTAGTATGATCTCCTGATATTTTTATCTATTGTAAACAAGTAATTTGCTTTTGGACAATTGGGTGGAATTTACAAGTTGTCTGTTTTCCTGGCATTTGCTGTATTTTGCTGAGCAGAATGTTACCAGCAAAGTTTTCAGTAACAGGCCCTGACTGCTCTGGACGGATCCAAGAGTTGATCACAGGTCTTCCTGCTAAACCACTGATCTAATAACCTACATAAAGAATTAAAGAGTTGCAAGCTACCAACATCTGTTCGTGAAGGTGTTTTCATTAGGGTGGGGCTGTTTGAGGATGAGGTAGGGATTGAAGTAAAGGAAAAGGAAAGAGAGAACGGAGGTGAAAATGGGCTTCCCACTGCAATGCTACACTCATTACTCAACTCACAGCCATTCACGCTTTTTCACACTGCACACATTCTCCCACAGTAGCATCAGTTTTATCAAACAGGAGAGCTCCAAGTGCTCGATTAAGTATCTCATTTATAGAACTACTTGAAAACTTTTAAATCTTAGGTGAGCAGGTGAGTGAGTTTATTCTGGGAAAGACACTAAAATATGTGATCTTATTTGGCTTTCTGAAAATCCTCCAGCAGAAAATTATTTAGTAACTGAGTTTAATGTACAAAATATAAAACCACATTTGGTGCTAATTATATACATGTAAATAGTAACAAAGTTTATATAACAACTGAATTCAGTCTGATTATTGTAAAAAATTATGAGGACTACTAAATTAAATATTCTAAAAAATTCAGACTACAAAATATTAAAATTAAGCATATCTTTACTGAGAGGATAGAAAATCATAAATGTTTAATATTATGGATTATGGTTTATGCACAAAATAGTAGCAAAATTGTAAAACCAGCAATGATACAATATCTTCATGTTACATGTTTAAAACTTCAATGCGCAATAATCTTTTTCTTAATATAAACTATATCACCGTATTTGGAATTAAATTTATTTTTGTCACAGTAAAGTTACCTCTACAAAGATTACAGAATCAAATAATAGTAAAACTGTGTGTTTCTTCTGTTTCAGAGTCTAAACAATCAGGTTCTATAACAATCTCACACAGTAGGAGGTATTGTCAGGTGACAGTAGTAACAATAGGGAGGAAGCGGTTGGTTCCAGGCCACTGGGACACCCCAGGCCAGCAAGGCACAGCATCCCAAAGGCCATACACTGTACAGCCCAGAGAAATACAAGCAGAGCCCAACATCATGCAACAGTGATAACATAGCTGCTCTCAGATAAGTTAGTTCCTAATATTCTATATTTACAAATTTAACAGGAGCCTTGTAAGTACAGCTGTAGCATAGCCAGATCAGATTCAGCCATCAGAAAGTGATCCTCGGTGCCAGGCTTTATTTGGGCTCCACTGGAGTTGGTGCAGGCAGAGATGCCGCTGGACCTGCGAAGGGCAGCAGAGAAATGTGTTGATGGGTGGAGACAGGCTATGGTAATACTTCTTATGAATTAAAAAATTTAACCTATTAATTTTAAATAAAGGAAACCATATGTTTATGTACCTATTTGTAAGGATTATTCCAGTCTACAAAAAAATGTAGCCTCCAACCTGCCCACAGGTACAAATCACACACAGGAAACATGCATCTCTAGCTCCTGGCTGCTGGATGACAACTGAGCGTTCTGTTGAAGACGTCTAAATGCTCAAGTTGCACCTGCCCATGTTAACAAGGCTGACATACATGAGCGGAGCTGACCGGGTAGGGAAAGCACAGCCTCGGCAGCAGGTGGGCAGGGGGGATCCAACCCAAGGAGTCATGGACTTCCCAGCCACAAGAGGCCACTGCAAGGGACGCCATGTCCTATGAACCTTCCTTAGTGGTGGTTCTTTTCAAGTACAATGCTGGGCCAGTTACTTAAAGGTCAGTTTTCTGGCATGCCTGAAACATCCAGATGGGCTGCAAAAATTTCAGTAAGAAAACAGTAATAATCCTGTGTCTCGTGGAGGGAAAGAAACACAATTAGCGTTGACGAGGCCCAGAAGAAAGTCACAGTGCCAGGCTCTCAAGGGAAGGGCAGGCCTGCTCTCGGCTGCCTGTTGTTGCTCATCACATTAGAAGCCAAGATGGACAGGACAAGAAATAGGGAACAGAAAAGGAGAGCTCAGGGTGGCCTCAACACCAGAGTCAGGCCGGGGGTCAGAGATTCTGGGGAGGGCAGGAGCCGGGAACTCCCATGGCGACAGCTCAGCATGCAGAGAGCATGGGGACAAACCTACCCACCCAAGTGGTGATTCTGCCTGGTTTCAGGTGACTTACTGCTCCCTTGGTCTTTCTGTTCCTTTCACATGCAAGTTTTGCTACTTTAAACACATGGTTTATATAATATGTGCAATGACTTATTTCCTGATAGGAAGTTTATAAACTCTTATAATTGTTGTTAGGAAGAGAACCATAGACCCAACATGGGGTCACTTCTGCTTGGACACGTCCACTCCGAGGCTGAATACCCAAACTAACTGCAGTTTCCACCTCACCCAGAAACATCATCAGTCAGGGATTCTCTGATCAGATCCATAAGCTAATGTCACGGGTGCCCTCTGTCCCCAAAGGAGACAATGAGATCCACCTAAGGAGACCATGACCCTGCCCTCTCACATACAGAGAGCATGCAAATGTGCATGGCATGATCCTTGATGACACAAACTACATGTGTCTACGCTACACTTCAGGCTGTACTGATAAATGTAACCTCTTTCCTGCACAAGTTCCCTGCTGTAAAGGAAGTACTGGACATGGCTCTAAACAAAGGGGCTTTGGAGCAGTTCACTAAATCTCTTATTCGGGTGCCATAACCCTTAGTAAGACTCTGAAATCACTCTCCCACGTTGATTTCAGCTGACAATGTCAAATGATAGTTCCTTGATTAGATCATGTATTTTGTTGATGGTGAGGTAAATTCTATCTACTCAAGGCTACTCAGAAAAATAATAGTAAAAACTCGAGAGAGCGTGTGCAGGTAACCTCTCTGCTGCTGCTTTCATATTTTTAGGCGGCAGTCCTCCCCTGGCCTTTGATTTCCTTTTCCAGTATTTCAACCACATCTGTCACATGGTATAGAATAAAATGTGTGTCTCTAAATTAATTACATTTTATCTGTGCATGTGTAATATGCATAAAGGAATGAAACAATCTCATAATAATGTAAATGGCGGCCCCCAAAGTGTGTTTCTAGAACTCCAATTTTTCAAAAGCATGGCTGGCACTGGCTTGGGTAGTTAGAATACATGCAGTTTGTAGAGTGGTGTCACAGGCTGCAGAGAGGCATCAGCTTCAGATTTAAGAACTATTCCATTGGTTACTTTGTATGTAAAACACTGTTTGGATGCGGTCAGTTTCTCTATAAACACTCACTTGGAGAAGATCCTGTAATAAAGAACATCAGTTGTTCAATTTAATAAAACACATTAAGTACTAAAAGAACTAGTATTTTAACAATTGCTTAAAGCATTAACAAAAGGCTCTGTTACTTAAAACGGTAAGTCATAGAAACATCATCAAGCATTAAGCCTGTCCCTTGTCCACCATGACAGTAGAGGGCATGTCATTAACAGAACTGGATGGGGCACCTGGTGCCAGTACTGAGCAGGTGTGGGTGACAATGTCCCCCTTACTGGTCAAGGCGTCACCACCAGAGTAAAGGCGAGACATAGAGAAGAGGCAGAGGCCATGCCCACAGACCACCACAGAAAACACTTCAGACCCTTGAAGAGACACAACGCGCCTCTTTCCCCCTTAACCAAAGAAGTGAAGCCTCAAAAGTAAAAATAAGGTGCCCACAGACAAATGCCAACAATTACTGGAGCTACAGCAGTGGCACAAAATACTCCATAGGCTTGAAGTGGCCATGGCCAAAAATTCAACTGATTCTACCTGTGGCTGTGACAGATTAAGATCAAAATTAATATAGAATTTTGAACAACTCATTCCTGGGAAACTTCTCAACTGTTCCAAGTTTAATAACACAGCGTGAGAAATGCCGGTAATGGAATAATTTCAAGTTTGAACTGTGGGTTTTTTTCAAAGAACTGGTGACGGTTCATGAAGCTGCCTCTCAGCGGACCAACTGCTTATGCAGAAATTCAAGCTTTGCTCAGAATCTTTTGGATCTGGGAGTCTAAAATGGATATTATTTGGAATATTATTTGTTTGGAATCCAGATGAAGTATCAAGACAGAAAGCCTCAGAAATCATGAATAATGAGGGGAATGTAAAACATACATTAGTCTTATGTATGTCTGTAGCCTCAGTAGTTGCGTAGGTTTTTTTATGTGGTTTTTTGGTTACTCATGATGAGTATATAATGAGACAGGAGTAAGTCCTTTGCTGCCATCTCAATGCACAAAACGCCCAGGGACCCTGGACTGCTGGGTGCACTTCACCTTGTGCTTCAGGGGAACCTTCAGGCCCCTCCGGCTCTGCATCCTGGGGCCCTGCAGAGTCCTGCGAGGACTCAGATGACACGGACGCTCTGGATGTCTGCTGGGTCCTCTTGTCTGAATCAGCTCGCTGCTGTAACCACTCATCCTTATAACCATTGCTAATAAGTTTGGAAAAGTTTGTGGGTGAACTGGTTTTTTGACCAGGCCTCAAAAAGAGAAAAATTAATTTTAAACTTGAGTACAAAGGTTAATGATAATCCAGGAGATGTCTCAGTGAACATACTGATAATAAATTAGATGCCTTATTGTCTCTTAAAACGTAATAGAGATATTTCTCTCTCCCTCTTCGTGTTCTCTGGCCCTGTCACCCTCTGTCTCACTTGCCCTGTCTCTTTCTCCCTCCCTCCCTCCCTCCCTCCTCCCCTCTCAGTCTCAGTCTCAGTCTCAGTCTCTCCCTTCTCCATTCTAAGCATCCAAGCATCCCTTGCACATGGTAAGAGATTGCTCAGCTCAGTGTCTAAACCCTTTCTTCAGGACAGACAATTAGAAAGAGAATAATTGCAGCATTTCTAAGGACACCTTCTCCAGAAAACATCACATCCCTGGATAGTAAGAGACTACTCGGCCTCTACAACTTTTTTAACAAATTATTACTATCTTAATTAGTTCTTCCTTGGCCACATTAAAGATTACCTGCTGCCCCTTTACACAGCTTTGCCTTCTACCCATGATTCACCTCTGCTGCTGTGTGTTTACAGACCTATCATAATTCCCATCAGAGAGTGGCAGGCAGATGGACATGGTGACATGGTGGAATCAGCACTAGCGAGGAGGTCAGACAGGTAACCTGTGGCGTGTGCTCCCCAAGCCTCGGCTTGCTTACTTGCAAGTCATGCTGTGGTTATTAGGTTATTCCAGGGCACTCTAATGCCCCCTCTAATATACGTATACATGTAATTTTTTCTCCCAGTCTAAGCATGATTCTCTCAAGGCACTGGTCACATATAATGTAACTGATTGAGTGTTTTTCTCCCCACTGGACAAGACGCTGTTTGAAGAATTAGTCAGACCATTAGTGACATCAGCACTAACTGGGATTCTGGGAGAGTAGGAGAAAGGGAAGACCTCCGGGGTTTCACTCTCTAGTGCCCGATAGGTTTCCAGCGGGATGCAGAGCAGGAACACTCACAGGCAAGGACACAAGGGTCCGGCCGTGATGGCGGAAGACCTCAGGACTGGGCAGCACACCTGGGTAAGCACCAGAGGCCCCAATTTAAAAGGTGAGCTTTTGTGGGGGTGGGATTGCCAAGGAGGGTCTCTGACAGGACACTGGCTCATGGACAACAGGGCAGCTCATTGGAGAGCTCGGCATCCACACAGCAGAGACGCATCACCACTAGAGAAAGGGCTGGACGTGCCCCGCAGGGACAGGGTGGACACCAGCAAAGAAGGAGAAATGGAGAGGAGCCCAGGAGACAAGGCGGGGCCAGGGCTCTGTGGGATGGGTGGTGGGAAGGCCAGGCATCAAAGCCACATTGCCGAAATTGCCAAAACCCGTGGCTGGGACGCCGCTGTCTTAGGCCAACATCAGCATCACATGCTGTTGCCGTCACCATCACTGATGTCATTTGGATGAAAGACCAAAAAAGGCAAATCCAGACCCACTGTAGACAGTGCCGGGGTGCCCTGCACTTACATGGGAGGAAAGGAGAGTCTGCCTCCTGCAGAGTCCTTGGGGCCAAGCAGGGTCCCTGCTTTGCTCGGACACTTGGAGTTGATGGCTGGGAGCCGTACCTGTGTGAAGAAACACACAAAACCCTGATTTGGTGAAAAGCTCAGATGCCACAAGAGAAGAAAACTCACAGACGGGGCAAAAGTGCAAGCCATGCAAGAGTGGGCTTGTGGTCCCTGTACTGGAAAAGTGCAAATCAGCAACAGCCCCGGTCAACACAAAGTGTGTGTACAAAAGACACTCAGAAATCCAAAAGCAGTTGCATCTCCTCAGGCAGAAAAACAGTGAACACCTCACAGGTGAAAAATCAAGGGAGGACAGGCCTTAAAGGGACCCTGAGGGGACAGGGGTTCCCATGCCCGAAGGGTGGGCTCCAAGGCAGAGGTGCACCCAGGCGTGGAGGGGCTGTCTCCCAGGGGCCTCGGATTCTGTCGCCCTGAGCCACCAAGTGGGAGCCAGGTTAGAGCAAATGGGCAAGGCCACCAGTGGGAGACCTGCCCTCGTCCCATCCCTAAGTTGGGCTCACGGGCGCCCAGCCCCTGGTGAAGGCAGCCCCCCGCAAGTCCTGAGGGTGAGGTCAGTGATGGACACCTGGTCCTGGCTAAGCAGTCCCTCAGAACAGAGAAATAAGCTGCCGGGGTTGCTCCTCAAACCGGACGGGACACTGAGGGCCCAGACCTTGGAGTCAGGCACAGATAGGCGCCAGGCCAGAAACCACCCACCCCCGTCAGCAGAGGGGTGCTAGTCTTGTGCTCTTATCAAAGTACCACTGTTATTTCTCATATGAATGTCAGCAGTTCACCACAGATCTGCACAGCCTGGAATGAAGGCTGACTGAGGCCTCAGTGCAGGAGCCCCTTACACCCAGGAGGTGGTCCCAGCCTGATCAGAAGGCGTTCCCACCAAGAGAGCGCAACCAGAAGCCACCTACTAGATGTGGCCTATGAATTCCAGAGTCGCTCTTTGAAATACCAATCCTCAAACAGGCCTTAACCTCAAGCCAGTGGCTCCCTGAGGTCAGGTACACCCCTGGGGTTTGCACAGGAGAAAAGCATGGACCTGCCCCCTTTGACAGCAATAGAGAACACTTCAGGGAAATTGTAATTTAAATACTCAAACAAAATGGAATGTTCAGAAACCAGATAAGGCATAAACATGAAGTGTGCTCCGTAAGTGTGCGGGCTGAGAGTGGCATGCCACCTTGGCCCCAACGCTCTCTCTAGTACAAACTCACTTGGCAAAAGGCAGTCTTACCTTAGGGAGTCGATATTCATAAAAAGAAGAAAGGAAACATTATCGTAGCCTCTTGCCTTTCAGTAGGTCTACATTTAAAGTACAGAACCGAGGTGGTGTCCCGGTTCTGTGGACACAGCGCACAGCAGCCGCAGGGCTGGGGGGCTGCCAGCACAGCCACCCTCTATCAGGGCTCCCGTCACCTTTTTTTCCTCCTTTTCCTGTTCCTCGGCCTCCCTCTGCCAGACGGTCTTCACATCAAAGTCGAAGGGCCCTCTTCTGGACTCGTAGCTCCCGTTGGCCTGACCAGGGTTAAACTCTTCATAAACCATGTACTCAGGCAGGGCGATGGCAGGGGCTCTGCGGAAGGGAAGCAAGGGTCCCCGCCTGCGGCCATGGCTGCTGCCCCCCTCCCCCGCTGTCCCCTCTCCCCCTCCCAGCTCCTACCCTCCCCTCCCCTCCCCCTCCCTGCTCCCCTTCCAGCCCACCCCTGATACCCCACCCCTGCTGTCCCCACTCCCCTCCCCTCTCCTGGGCCTCCCACAGTAAGGAGGAAAAGCCATAAATCACAGGTGTCCCTGTCAGTGAGAGAGACTACATTACATTATGAATTATTAAAGCTGGTAAAGTATGACTATTTTTATGATGTCATCTACTATTTTATTCTCTTAAAATAGCTAGACTCCCATCGACATTTACCATTTCGTGTGATCATTTGATAATAATAACCTACTTCTGTTCTATCAGGCAGTCCTTTTTAGTGTGGGTTGTGGCTTCCAGCCTGTTTTCCTCTCTCCCCCCAGATCACCCCGACTCCAGGACACCGGAGTGCACCCAGGCTGTCAGGAAGGCCCCCCTGAGTAGGCTGAGGGCTGGGCCTTTACCCCGCAATCCCCTGGGGGCCGGAACGCCCGAGGAATGGGGAGGGAAGAGAAGAGGGGGGCGGAGGGGGACAGAGGAGAGGGGGAGGGGAGGGGAGGCAGGAAGCCGCGCCTCCAGGACGGGAGCCTGGCAGTGCTGGGCTGCTCAGGGTCAGGACCAGGTAGAGGGCCACCAGGGAGAGGTGGGGGTAGGGTGCGGAATCAGCAGAAGAGGGAGGGGCGCCCACAGGTCCCCGAGACGAGACAGGAGGAGGCCTGGAAGGCCCACAAGAAGCAAGTGAAGAGGCCAGGGAGCAGAAGTCAAGCCGGGAGTGCAGGCTCAGGGCAACCGGGGTGCCCAGGAGGAAAAGCTGAACTGGGAGGAAGGGCTGCCAAGCGCCGCGGCCCTGTGCTCTCCAGCCGGGCCACTGCTTCTCTGGGGCAGGAAGGGAGCCCACTCTCTCCGAATGCTGATGCTGGTCAGAGGGGAGCTATGGTAGCCCGCAGTGTTCACTTTAAAGAACAGGGACAAGGAATCCTGAGAACAAAAGTGCCCTGTGGCCATAGGCTGAGAGCCCAGGAACAGTGGAGGACAGCGTGGAACCCCAGCTGTCTGCTCCTGCTTTCCAGCCAAACCAGAAGCTGCCTATGTTATTTCTCATCCAAGAGAGGTGGTTTGGAAGCCATAGTTTTTGGGCCAGAACATAGGAATTTCTCAGACATTGCAAACATTATGGGGGACAATGGCTCCTCATAACTCTCTAATAACCATAGAAATTTAGTATTTCCTCTATTTCTGACTTGGTATCTTTCTTCAATGAGAAGCTTTGGGACACGGTATTTATAAAAGGTAGGTGTGATCAGGCCTGCAGTACAGGCAAAACTTGAAGCAACAAATCCATAACCAGCCCTAAGAGGTACTAGTGTGGAGGGCAAAACATGAGAGATTTCCAGAATGCTGTGGCTCTAACCACTTAAGCTGTACCCACCCCAACACCCTCAAACAGCTGGCCGTTACACACAGTACCTGTAGTTGCAAGATCACAGACTGCTATCAGGGTGTAATTTGCATATTTAATGTGCAAATTGAGCTGATTTATTTTCCCTACAGAGACGCACAACAAGGTGGGCATCTCATAATACTCACTGTCTCTGGTTGGTAGTCTGCGGCTTGCTGTGGTGGACGTACCAGTCTGGCAAGGAGTAGGCAACCGGGGAGCCTTTCCTGGTCCCAGGGGCAAAGTGCATCAACAGATCTCAAAGCCAAAAAGACACTGTGAGTGGTCTCCTGGCAGGGCATACTGCATTACTAGCAGGCAGATTGATCTTTGCCATGACAGGGCTGCCCCTGACCCCCAGCATTCCTGGAATAAGCTGCCCCCTCCAGGCTCCTGGTGGAACATTGGGGCACAGGACCCTCCAAATCATGGGGTGGTAGAGGAGGTGTTCCTCAGAGCCCCTTGGAGCTACCCTCAGACAGACAGGGAACCAGGCTCCTTCCCGGAGAGCCTCCCCAGCTCCCACCCTCCCCCTGGCTCCAAGGGCTTTTCCTGGCTGGGGGCCTAGTTGGGAGGTGGGAAGGTCTGGTTTTGCCTGCTTGTAATAAGGACAACAAACTGATAATAACAGTGGCAGCCAACATTGCCTGATTTCTTACCATCAGTAAGAAATATTTACGTTTTTCATTTTCTAACTTTTGATTTTTAACTTCTTTTTTTCATGTGTAAGATTCACTTTATTTTTTTAATTTTTTAAAATTTTTAATTAAGGTATGATTGATATACACTCTTATGAAGGTTTCACATGAAAAAACAATGTGGTTACTACATTTTCCCACATTATCAAGTCCCCACCCATACCCCAATGCAGTCACTGTCCATCAGTGCAGCAAGTTTTAAACTTAACTTTTAATTTCAGATTTAGAGAAAAGTTGCAGGGATAGCATGCATTTGTCTATACGCTTCACCTCGATTCCTTAAATGCTACTGTAAGGCAGGAAAATAGATATGAGCAGGGTGGAAAGAGAAAAAGGCCAGAAAGTTCACTAAAAAGACCCAAAATTAATCAATTAAAGCTCAAAAAGCCAGGAGCAACTTGGCCTGGAATGTTTGAATATTCCCCAGATAAAGGAGGTTACCTCAGCATAGTCCATGCCTTTATTGTGTTAATCATGCAGGCCCAGCCATAAACAACATAGTAAAAGGCAGGAAAGATTCCATCTTAAAAACTGTATTTTAATACCCAGGAAGTTAAAAATGTAAGATTCTTAACTTACTCTTTAGCAAACAGACAATAACTCAGCCCACCTTGGGGTCTGGGCAGGCAGTCTGATATGCTCCCAGACCAAGGTGCTGGTATCCCAGGGAGAAATCAGAGCAGGAAGTTCCTTGTGTTAAGTTAATTCTAAGTATTCAAAGAGCATTTAACAAGTCTGCACCCCAGCCCTTAGTCACTCTCCTAAAGATACTTAAAAGGAGGAACCCCCAACCTTTCAGGGTGCTCCTCTCTCTGAGGTCACCCGCACTTTATAAGTGTGTAAGCTTTTAATCTTAAACTTTCTCTCTCCAGCCTTTCAGGGCACCTCTCCTTGCTGAGGTTGCCTACTGCACTTCTTTCTTTAACTAACTGTAAATAAAACTTTTACTCTGCTTCACTACTGTGTCTCTGCCCTTTTCAATTCTTTGTCGCAGCGGGGACAAGGACCGAAGAAATACACAGCGCTCCCCTAACACTACCATTTCATTTCATATTTGCTTAATCATGCTTTCCTCCCTCCCTCAGCTTTCTCTCCGTCCCATTGGCAGTGTCACTGTCACTGCTATCCTGAGGACAGTTCGGGAGCATGTTGTAGACATGATGCCCCTTTACCTTTATCTACTCCAGTGAATGTTCCCAAAGCACAGTTTTTACACAATCACAGCACAATGGCCAAAATCAGGAAATTAGTGCGGATGCAATCCTTTTTATCTAATACAAATATTATTCAGACTTGGCCAGCTGTCCCACTAATGCTCTTTTAGCCAGTGGCTGGGGAGTGGGGAGGTGAATCTAAGAACACCTACAGGTCCTCTTCTATGAGTCTCACACAGAGACAATCAAAATGGTTTATTCTGGGCTTTTTAACATTTAAGCCTGGAAGTTGCCATTCCACTTCTCACTACCCAATGACAGTCTCCTTAGGGTAAATAGGAGCCAGAAAGAAAAGGTTTGTGTATCTCAGTGTCACCCACTGCAAAGGCCATCTAGAAGACTTTTTACATGTGACAGGAGTAACCTGATGAGCAGGTTGTTAGCACAGCCAAGCCATACTGTTTCAATTAAGTCACAGATAAAAGAGTGATGATCATCAACAATGCCATTAAAACTATCTGTTCATTGTTTAAAACATATTAATACACAGGACAAGGAGCTGCGAGCATGAACAACAGGAAACAAAGCCAGTTGCACAAGCTAGTCAGGAAGTGGTGCCCCAAACAAGGTCATCACAGTGCTAAGGCAGGCTCCCTCCTGGGGTGGAGGCATCTGAGACTCCACCCCAGGAAAGTACACTGGGGCAGGTGAGTCACTGCAGGGCGTCACTCAGAGGCCAGTTTTGTGCATTCAGCGCCTATTGAGTCTTCCTCATAAAAGGAAGCAGATACTCAAGACTGTGTGCGTCCTGAGCTGAGTAACTAATCCAAAGGCCTTGGGCAAAACTGAGAGATTTCACAGTAGTATTTTTATAGGGCATGATGACCAAGTGGCCCCATCACCCCCAAAGCAGAGCCCCTGGAGCCCATGTGGAGTGCTCACCAGGCCGGCCACCTTGCTTGGCGAGCTTCACGTACTCCGAGTCTGTTTCTTTTATCCAGTACCTCCGCATCCCGGGCCCGTGCCCATTGGGTGGCTCTGTCCGCTGGCTGAGACCTGGGATCTGGGATGCTGGCGGAGCCTCCACAGCCTTCTCAGACCGCTTCACGGGAAGGTGGTAATACCAGTCTAGAGGGGAGAAGGCCATGGGTGGAGACGTTAGATTCAGAGTGCAGGTGGGCTTACCTGGGAGATGTCCGTGCCAGGGAGGGCAATTCATCCTACACAAGACATGGGCACAGGGGATGCCGCCACAGGACATTAGTTTAAGAATGTGAAAATTAATAAAGGGAAAGTCACTGACAGGGAAGCCTGCAGGCAGAGCTCTCTCAGTTACAGACGCCAAGGGAAGGAAGAGAGGGCCCTTGCAAGTAGACACTGTTTTAGCTACTTTACTCCCCAGAAGAAGGAAGATTCCACCCCACCCCACCCCCACCGGCCTGCACAACAGCCCAGCTAAAGAGGCTGTGACAAATCAGCCAATGAGAAGCCAGGGACTCCCGGTTTTCTCCAATGGGCTTTTTGCTTAAACAACCCCACCTTTTTTTCTATTAAACAACTCCTTAACCACCCCCTGCTTTTTCTCTATAAAAGCACCCTTCCTCTCCTTTGTTCTCCAGATTTGCCTAAGACTTTGCTATAGCTTGTTTGTCCCAATTGCAATTTTCTGCTATTTCCAATAAACCCATTTTTGTTGATAAAAAATGACAGTTTTATTTTTAAGGTTAATGGGAGAAACCACTGCAGGACATCAGCACAGGAGACACTGTCCTCTTTGAAACACCTTCAATGAGATGTGACCCTGCTTGTTCTTCCTAAGACGCACCAGCATGCCAGCTGCTGAGGAAGCGGGCCTTCTATGAGACTCTGCTCGTTTCTCTGCTACTAGCTGCCCTCCGCTCCAGAGCAGGCAGCGGAGCCTCTGCCATGGGTGTTTAACTTCCCAGAGAGATATCCAAATCCCCTTATGTTGTGTCACATGTTGCGTCTTTTAATTCTGCATGAAATTGGAACTAAACTGCATTTCTGGATATTTCGGGGAACATACATTCCTGAAAAATCCCAAGTCACTTAAAACATTACGGGCAAGTGTATGGAATATACAGACAGAATAAACTCCGCACATTACAAACACTGAGCTATAGATCCCATCTCAAAAGTAGCACCCTCATTAAACATGCTTACCAATCTGAGAGGTAGAGCAGGAAGAGGCAGGTGCAGGTACTATCCCGGAGGCCTCATTCAGGGAAAAACCTATCTGAAGTCCCATTCCTCCCTCATCCCATCACCCTGGACCAGCATCCAATCAGACTACCTCTCAGATGCTGCAGCCCTTCCACATTAGCCCCTTGCTCTCTTGATTTATGCTGGAGGCCAAAGTGGGGCATCCCAAGAGGTCAGAAATCAAAGATGATTAGGGCTCTAGAGGGTAGCTGGGGAGAAGAAGGGGGAGGCAAGGACCCGCTGGGGTAAATCTCTCAGCTGCAGACTCCTGAGGGGGTGAGTTCCGCTGGAACATCAAGTCGGGTCCCTAGAGCTCAAAGCCTGGTGAGCATAGAGAAACTGTGCAATTTTTGTGGGACAGGGTCCTGTGAAGAGGAGGTGCCGCAGTGTGGTGGAAAAATGAAGCGCAGCTGGCTGGCAGTGCTTCCTCCCCAGCTCCATCTGAGCCCCTTGGAGATGGGGCCATGGCCAATGAGGCAAATGGGGCCATGGCAGTGCCATGGGAGCTAATATCCTGGAGCTGAGGGCATCCAGGGAAGAGTCCTGCAGGTGGCTCTGTGACCACACAAGTGTCTCTGTCACGACAAGGTGTTGGCAGAAGCCAGGGACCTGCAGTTATCAGTGTCCACTATGACCCCACAGACTGAAGAGAACAGGGGCATTTGGACTACTGGTGTTTCAGGTGACTCTCTGCATCAGAAAGTGATTTACCACATGGTCAAACATAAGAAAAAAAAATCATAGGTGATTGAAAACTTTGGAAACAAAGTCCAGGAAGAATGTAAAATACAAAAGATGCCATTACTGTGGCAAAAGTGACTCATGTATCTAAGAGCTCTTTCCATAACGGGCTGTTGAAAACTCATGACATTTAGGATCTAACACAGTACCTGGCTCCCAGCAGGTGTGATGGGTAATTTTATGTGTCAATTTGGCTGGGCCACGGTGCCAGGGTATCGAACATTATTCTACATGCTTCTGTGTGAAGGTACTTTCTAGATGAGGTTTACATTTAAACCAGTAGACTTTGAGTAATGAAGATTGTCCTTCTTAATGTGGGCAGGCCTCATCCAGTCACTGAAAGACTTAAGAGAACTGACTGAGACCCCCGAGGAGGGAATCTTGCCTCCAGATGCCCTCAGTCTCAAGACTGCAGCATCAGCCCTTCCCTGGGTCTCCAGCCTGATGATCTCCTGCCTTGCAGATGTTGGATTTGCCTGACTCCACACCTGTGAGACACAACTCCTTAAAACAAACCTCTTAAAACAAATATCACATAAAAATGACATATTAACATGACAAATCTTTTAAGTATCTAAAGGACAGTAATTAGCTGAATCGACATTGTAGTTTTGAAAAGGAAGAAAGCATTAGGACAGGTTTAAAGAATTGCGCTGAAGTCCACAGATAAGCATTTAAGTATTAGGAGTAAGACAGTTTCATAGACTGATCATATTCAGCTCAAATATTTTCTCTTTTAGAGAGAAAGCACTGAATTACTGCTTTATTTTTCCTCTCTGTGTTTTGATGACTAATCCACAGAGAACAGTGTATCTGAAACTTCTCATTACTGAAAGCTTCAGGCAAGCACTGCACTCAAATGCGAGTGGCCATTTTTAACAGCCTGCAAAGGAACTGGGAGAGACAGGGCAAAAATCACTGAGGACCAGCTGCCACCACCTCACACACACCTCGCACTCACATTCACACACCTTGCACACTCACATTCACACCCAGCGTGCCGGGTTCGAGCCACCCAGCCGCAGAGCCCAGCCCTTTCCCGTGCGCTCACCGCAGGGTGCGTAGCGATTTGGGGCGCCGTGCAGCTCCTTGCTTGTCCTGCTCATGGTGGGACACGCTGGGCCGGGTGTTTACGAAAAAGCCAGGAGCCGCCGCCCGAGCCTGAGCTGCAGAGGCCACGTCTGCGCCCCAGGTTTGTCCGCTCCACCTGACAGGTTATGCAGGCGTCTGTCTCACCATTCAGGAAGGGCGTGAACGTCCACGCGGGTACACAGCAGGGGCACATGCATTCTGGTATGCAGCAGGGGAACGTCCATACCCGGGATACAGCAGGAGCACATGCACGCAGGTATGCAGCAGGGTCTACGAGGGTACATAGCAGGGACAGCAGGTCATCGCATGATCTCCAGACTCGGGGGGCCCGTTGCTTTCCGGCCCGGAGTGACAGGTGGCCCCCGCCCCAATCCCGCCTCCCGCCAGGCCCACCGCTAGCTGAGGGTCTCCGTGGGCGCAGCTCGCACCGCTTGAGGTGCGTGTGTACCCACCGCGGGACGAATCCCACGCTCCCAGCGCTGGCGGAACCACAACAACCCGCGTCGCCAGGGCAACGGCCTGGCGGCCAACCGGCGGGCGCGGCTACGCTCCGACAGCCATTCGGGAAAGCATACGGAACAAAGCGGACCTATCGGGACTAGGGGCGGAGCACAGGCAGTTGTCAAAAGTCCGGGCTTCGGCTGGGCGGGGCCAGCGCTCCCCGGGAGTCTGGCTCAGCTCGGAGAGGGGGCGTGGCCGTGTTGAGGGGCAGGGTGGGGAGTGACTGCGCCTGGAGGGGACCGGGCCTTATGGGGGAGGGGCGGGTCTCCATTCCTCTTTGTGCTCCCACAGGGAGTTCGCACAGAGCAGTCCAGGAAACCTGGATAGGGATCCGCTCTCGTTTATTTAATGCATTTTAAAAGGAGGGCGGATAAGTACCTGGGAAACAGCAGTCATTCCTGCCTGCCGAGTGTCATTAGTGAGTTAAGGTACGCGTGCCCCCATCCCCTAATGTTTCCGCATTTCTGTCCTGCGCTGGGACACTGGTAAAGCCTTTGGCCGCCTTAACGCGGGGCCGCGCTCACAGCGCAAACCCGGGATCCCACGCCTAGGCCTTGCTCACCTGGCCCCTGGCAAGACCGGGCTCCCGCTACCACAGGTCACAGGAGATGAGCGACGGCAAGGTAACTCCGCGACCGAACCAACCCTAACTCTGACCTACCCAGGTGTCACAGAGTCAGGATAAACTCGGGGCTCTAGGGAGCGTCACGCAGTAACCAGGACCTTACAGCGCGAGCCATCCGCGTGCTCCATGGCGTGCAGGGCACGAGGGCTGTCACCGCGAGCAAACGGGCTCCCTTTGCATAAATTCTGCACTTGCGCGTCCCGGAAGGTGTTTGACAGCGGTTGCGGTAACAGGAAGAGCCTTTCGTGGTCTGGGTGGAGGTCAGTTGCTGGTCCCATAGCCCGCCCCGCTAGCAGAGCCGTGCACAGCGCACACGGAGAGGGAGGCTTTGGCGTTGGGAACGCCCCTAAAATCACCAAAGCTCGCGGATGCCCGGTGAACTCAGCATCTAGGTAAGATGCTGTGCGAAAGAAGGCGGACCCAGGCGTAGTCCACCGAGAACGAATATCTCAGCGACCTCATTTTCTTCACTTCATCGTAGACGGTCTCCCTGTCACATTGCGCTCTCAGGGTTCAGAAGTACCCAGCTTCTCCTCACATACAATCTCTCTTTGTGCACAATTTTATTTCTAGATGTTTAGAAAAAATATATATCTTGTATACGTAGATCTCTTATAGATACCTACAAATATCATATATATCTTATTATGTCTTATATATCTATAAGATATTACAAACATATACCGTATATAAAGATACCTTATTATAGATAACTTGTATAGATACCTCCTGCTGGCAAGCATTTTGAGAAGAGGAAAACAATGTGTTTAAGTATGAAGTCCAATTTCTTAAAGCCCTTGAATGCTTCCGACCTGCCTAGTCGCCCTTGGTTTACCCTGTGGTGGACAGAAGCTGATTGACTTAAACTCCCAGGACACATCTTCATTTCTGCCTTTGCTCATCCATGCTATATATGCCAACCAAGCACCTAAAAGGCTGCTACACTTCTCTTCACTAACCATCATACTGAGGAGACTATGCAGCAAACTCTTTAGAGCAGGGCTTCACAAACAGGAGGAATTTCTAAATTTTGTGTTTTTGTATTTGAAGATAATCCAAAATGAATAAAAAACAAACTCTTCCTTTTTGACAAATATTTATATATTTTAATATTATGTAATAGTTTGGGTTTTCAGTCTAGTTGGGAAAACAAGACTATCATTTCTATAGGCACTGAGGGAGATGGGATTTCTACAGTGCCCTGTATTACGTGTTAAAGTGGTAATGGCCTTTTGCTTTAATAGGAAATGTTCACATTTTAAAATGGACTTAAGCAAGATCCCTTGCTTAAGACTGACATATAACAGTAAAAAGTTTTGGAAAGTAATGGAGTAAAAACAAAATATATGTAAATGACAGAATAGTTTAAATCATCTTAAAGTCCTATAATACAATAATTTGTATATAAGGCTAAGATAACTGTTATTTTGCAATAAATACAAATTAATTATTTGTATTTGAGAACTACTAAATGTGATCTTTTTACCAGGGATGCAAGGATGGTACAACATTCAAAAATCCATCAACATCATCTACCACATCAACAAAAAGGACAAAAACCACATGATTATCTCTGTAGATGTGAAAAAGCATTTGACAAAATTCAATACCCATTCATGATAAAAACTCTCAACAAAATGGATATAGAGGGCAAATACCTCAACATAATAAAGGCCATATATGACAAACCCACAGCAAACATCATATTTAACAGTGAGAAGCTGAAAGCTTTTCCTCTAAGATTGGGAACAAGACAAGGATGCCCACTCTCTCCACTTTTATTCAACATGGTACTTGGAGGTCCTAGCCATGGCAATCAGAAAACACAAAGAAATAAAAGGCATCCACATTGGTAAGGAAGAAGTCAAATTGTCACTGTCTGCAGATGACATGACATTGTACATAAAAAACCCTAAAGAATCCACTCCAAAACTACTAAAACTAATATCTGAATTCAGCAAAGTTGCAGGATACAAAATTAATACACAGAAATCTGTTGCATTCCTATACACTAACAGTGAATTAACAAAAAGAGAAATCAGGAAAACAATTCCATTCACAATTGCATTAAAAAGAATAAAATACCTAGGATTAAACCTAACCAAGGAAGTGAAAGACCTATACCCTGAAAACTACAAGACACTCACAAGAGAAATTAAAGAAGATACCAACAAATGGAAACACATCCCATGCTCATGGATAGGAAGAATTAAGATTGTCAAAATGGCCATCCTGCTTAAAGCAATCCCTATCAAATACTGACAGCATTCTTCAATGAATGGAAACAAATAGTTTTAAAATTCATACGGAACCACAAAAACCCCGAATAGCCAAAGCAATCCTGAGAAGGAAGAATAAAGCAGGGGGGATCTTGCTTCCCAACTTCAATCTCTACTACAAAGCCACAGTAATCAAGAGGATTTTGTACTGGCACAAGAACAGACCCACAGACCAATGGAACAGAATAGAGAGTCCAGATATTAACCCAAGTATATGTGGTCAATTAGTATATGATAAAGGAGCCATGGGTATACAATGGGGAAATGACAGCCTCTTCAACAGCTGGTGTGGGCAAAACTGGACAGCTACATGTAAGAGAATGAAACTGGATTACTGTCTAACTCCATACACAAAAGTAAACTTGAAATGGATCAAAGACCTGAATGTAAGTCATGAAACCATAAAACTCTTAGAAGAAAACATAGGCAAAACTCTCTTGAATATAAACATGAACAACTTCTTCATGACCATATCTCCATGGGCAAGGGAAACAAAAGCAAAAATGAATAAGTGGGACCATATCAAACTAAAAAGCTTCTGTACAGCAAAGGACACCATCAGTAGAACAAAAAGGAGTCCTACAGTATGGGAGAATATATCTATAAATGACAGATCCGACAAGGGGTTGGTATCCAAAATATACAAAGAGCTCACACACCTCAACAAACAAAAAGCAAATAATCCAATTAAAAAATGGGCACAGGATCTGAACAGACATTTCTCCAAAGAAGAAATTCAGATGGCCAACAGGCACATGAAAAGATGGTCCACATCACTAATCATCAGAGAAATGCAAATCAAACCACAATGGGATCACCTCACACCAGTTAGGATTGCCAACATCCAAAAGACAAACAACAACAAATATTGGCGAGGATGTGGAGAAAGGAGAACTCTCCTACACTGCTGGTGGGAATGTAAAATAGTTCAACCATTGTGGAAAGCAGTATGAAGGTTCCTCAAAAAACTCAAAATAGAAATACCATTTGACCCAGGAATTCCACTCCTAGGAATTTACCCTAAGAATGCAGGAGCCCAGTTTGAAAAAGACATATGCACCCCTATGTTTATCACAGCACTATTTATAACTAAGAAATGGAAGCAATCTAAGTGTCCATCAGTAGATGAATGGATAAAGAAGATGTGGTACCTATATACACAATGGAATATTAATCAGCCATAAGAAGAAAAGAAATCCTACCATTTGCAACAACATGAATGGAGCTAGAGGAGATTATGCTCAGTGAAATAAGCCAGGCAGAGAAAGACAAGTACCGAATGATTTTACTCATCTGTGAAGTATAACAACAAAGAAAAACTGAAGGAACAAAACAGAAGCAGACTCACAGAACCCAAGAATGGACTAACAGTTACCAAAGGGAAAGGGACTGGGGAGAGTGGGTGGAAAGGGAAGGAGAAGGGGATTAAGGGGCTTTATGATTAGCACACATAATGTAGGGGGGCACAGCGAAGATAGTATAGCACAGAGAAGACAAGTAGTGATTCTATAGCATCTTACTACACTGATGGACAGTGACTGTAATGGGGTATGTTGTGGGGACTTGATAATGGGGGGAATCTAGTAACCACAATGTTGCTCAATATTAATAGAGGAAAAAGCCAAAATAAATAAATAAATAAAAGTGATCTTTTACAATATGTGATTTATTATTTAAAAAGTTAAATTGTTAAAGACTATCAGAAACCAATCTTTAGAGCAGAGTCACAGGATTTTTGCTTTGCATCCAAAAAATGAGAAGATTTTTTAAAATATGAATGTAGTACTCTATATTTTTCCTTCCACTGACAGGAAAAACAGGCAAAATTGAAAAAGAAACAGAGGCTTTTTTGGGGGGTCTCAGAATTGCAGTTTGAGGAGCACAGATCCTGGCAGGAACCAGAAAATGTATCATGCCTGCTGGGTGAAGTAAGAGGTTTTTATAAGGATGAAGAAGGGGGCAATAACATGGCTCAGATGAAGGAGAAGGAGAAAAGGAATTCCTGGCCAGCTGGACCAGGCTGAGCTGGTTTGTTTATATTCTGTTCAACTAATGTATTGGCGGGATCAAGAGAAACTAGTCCTGGTATCCTGCGTTAATTAATTACGCTAACTCTGTAAAGTCTACACTGGCAAGTTTTCTATGGTTTGGATGCCAGTTGCCCACTTGATTGTTGAAGCAATAACTTATAAAAACAACTCCATTTCTGACCCAGTTCAAAAGTTCATTAGAAAGGAAAAAGGAGCTTCAAAATGGAGTGTCTCATATCCCAAAATTCTATGCAGTTTCACACTTCTCTCTAGGGATATAATGAGTCTGCACATTTTAAGAAATAAATCGTTTCCCCCTCTGCACCCAAGAGTTTGGAGGCATGTGCTTGTGATGGGCAGTTGGTTCCCAGTGGGGAAGGTTACCTACCTGCTGTTGCTAGAGATGTAGATAAGGATGATGATGAAGATTGCTGTGGTCTGAATGCGTGTGCCCCCCAAATTCACATAGTAAATCCTGACCCCCACTATGCTGGTTAGGAGATGGGGCTCCTGAGAGGTGATGAGGTCATGAAGGTGGAGCCCTCATGATGGGATGGGTGCCCTTATAAAAGAGACTCCACAGAGCTCCCTCACCCCTTCCACATGAGAGGACACAGCAAGAAGGTGTATCATGCCCCAGGAGCAGACCCTCCCTGGGCACCGAAGCTGACTGTGCCTTGGCCTTGGATGACCAGCCTCTCAAAAGCTGTGAGAGACAAATGTCTGTTGTTCAAAAGCCACCAGTCTATGGCACTTTGTTACAGCTACCGGAACAGACTAAGAGAAAGGCTTTACACTGAGTTTAAAATTTCAGGAAAAATAGTGGCTCTCAGAAGACTACATTAGGATCCTTGGTCTCAACCATGAGAAATATGCAGAGGGCCTACATCACAGCTTGGAAATGCTGCATCCTGAGACTACGATTACGCATGTCTAGACAGCCTGCCACATCTTACTTCCCAAACCCTTCCTGTTTGCTTTCCAAGCACCCATATTCTACTGTTTTCCTTCAAACGCAGGGTCTAATTCTATGCATCTTCTTCACTGGATCCCCCTCCTCCTGGTGGCTATATACGGGAATGCCGCGAACCTCCGGACACTGACCTCTATGAGCAACCCGCCTTTGCTCCCTCTGTGATCTCTTCCAGCCCCATTACATGCGATGATGCCCACATTTCTACCACTGGCTGCACTGCTCGCTATCTTTTGGTACTGATGACGTACTTCTCTTATGCCTCACTCAGCCGAGAACAACTAGTAACAGGTCTGGGAAAGTCCTGCAGAGAAGGGTCTCAGACCACAGTCAAGCAAGACGGGGAACAGAAACATTACTAGAGATGGTGTGAACCAGAATTTCTAGCCAAACAATGGGAGTAAAGGAAACTCAACTGCAGGTAGGGGGCTGGGTGGTCCTTGTCACAGTGCTGCTGTTGCATATATTCAGGTCCTTCGATAACAATAGCATTGGAAGTGTGCCCTCAAGTACCTCCTTGTTCCAAATTAGACAACAATAGATAAAATACTAATAGGAAATTTACCAGCCAGGAGCCATGCAGGGCCAATACACACAAAGAAGCAGGAATGGGAGGAAAAGCAGGAAATTCCCCCTTCAAAATAAGTCTGCCATCCAAAACCCTAGGCTGCCACTGAAGCCAACCAGGGAGGAGACAGTGAGTCATCAGGAAATGAATGGTCCCCAAATGGATTTTATTTTTAGTCCAGCAGTCTGAAAGGTTTAGAAATAGGTACCCAACACTTTAAAAAATAAAGTAAAAGATGATATCGAGTCAAAAAAAGAAATTTCCTAGCAAGAGAAGGAAGAAATCAAATACAGGTAGACAAAAAAGCAGAATCCAGGACAAGAGGGGTCCTCAGCTTGTGTAAAGCAGCAGCTCAGACTCACTTACTAGACGGCCAAAGGACGCCATCCTGACATACAATTTTTAAAAAACTATTTGCTTAGCAAAGAAAAGTTTGATAATACATGGTGTTGGGGACGGGAGCAAAATCTCCTAACTTCCCTGTGGAAAGTTGAACGGGTAGAGTTTCTGCAGAGGACCGAGGCAGCGCTAATCAAAGTGACACAGACCCTTTACCCGACGGTCCGTCGTTTACACATGCAGGATGCCTGAAGCTCTCAGTTATTACTGGGCATTGTTTCCAAGATCAAAATGATCATCATCAGTATGAAACACGTTAAACAAATTATGACAGTTTATACAGTGAAACACTGTGCAGCCATGAAAACCTGAGGAAGATCATCTCAAAGTATATCAGAAAGACTTCCAAGATATATTTTTAAGTGAAAAAAAAAGATGTAGAACATATAGTATTCACTTTAAACAATGTGAAAAGATAAATATACACATATGAATATATGTGTGTGTGTATATATATACATATATATACATACAGATGAATATTTGTATGCAAACATGTTTGTATGTGCATATCATATCTTTGAAAGAAAAGAGAAGGAAATGGTAACCTGGATGCTAGAAGGGAAGAGAACCCATCACTAGAACATAGAGGGGAGCAGTGAGGCAGAACTTTGCCATGTATTGTCCACTATCTTTTGAATTTTAGACCACTAGGTAAAAAAGTAGAAAACCTGGGATTACTTAGGATAGAGCTAGACTTCAGAGTCAAAGATCTAATTAGTGAATTGTAAAATAGCACTTAGGAATTTTCCCTGGAACCAGCATAGAGTAAAAGGAGAGGAAAAAAAAGAAACAAATTTGAAGCGTCATTGAGCTCCATGGAGGGGATGGAAAGGAATTCACAAATGTCAACAGATGGGCTGTCCTAAGGATGTAGAGGCAATAGCAGGCAAGCAGTCCTTGAAGAACTGACAGCTGAAGAATACTCCAGAATCCAAGGAGTCCATGACCACTCAAGTTGAAAGTACAAAGTATCTGTATAGAGGAGGAAAAAAATAAAACTAATATCACTCTTGGATACATTGGAGAAGCAGAAGAACTTCAAAAATAAACAGAAAATCTTAAAAACCACGAGAGGAAAACGACCAAATCACTAAAAATAGAAAGAAAGAAAAAGGCATAAAGAGTAGGCAGAATTCTCATCAGCAACAATCAACTGCCTCCAAAGGGCTGAGAGATAAATAATTCATCAGGGAATTATGCTCCAAATAAATATGCTTATCCAACAATTCCATGTCTAGGTGTGAGGCCGGGGAAGCCCTGGTGTTGTGCACGAGGACAGGCCGTGAGCATTATTTGAATCACTGACTAGAAACAGTACAACCATACAAGAATAGGATTTACTTTAACACGATACACATATTGTTTTATAATACACCATCAATAAGCAAGTGAACTGGAGTTATGATGTCTCAAGACAGGTAATGTAAGCAAACTAAGAGGACCATTTAAGTTGGAAGCATGAACTCCATCACATTATTTGCGGAGGCATACTTATGTGGTAAAATATGAAGAACTCATAAGAATTACAGATACCGACTTACAGATTGTAATTATCTGTGGGAAAGAAAAAAGTGACATTGGGGAATGCTGTTTTGGGGTCTTCCATGGATTTGTGGTATTTAATTTTTTAAAAAGTAGTGAAGCAAACACAGCAACACCTTGATTTGTTACAGCAGAGTAGTGGATACAGGGGACCTTTGCATCTTCCGATACACTTGGAAAATGTTGTAAAAAAGCATTTTAAACATACACACAGGAGGATACACCCGGTGGAGAGGTGGCTGCGGGTACACCACTGAAAGTGTAAGGTATATGGCCTGTCCTTGTACATGCATCATGCTCTCCACCAGGGCTTCCCTGGACTCACACCTAGAAATGGAATTGCTGGATAAGCACATTGATTTGGAGCATAAGGCCCTGGCTGGCCAAGTTATTTTTCTCTCAGCCCTTTGGAGATACTACTCCATGGTTCTTGGCAGTTGATTGTTGCTGATGAGAATTCTGCCTACCTCTTCACTCCTTTTGGGGTTTTTGTAATTGTTGTTGTTTGTATTTTTGGTGATGTGGTCTTTCTCCTCTTGTGGTTTTTGAGGTTTTCTGTTTAGTTTTGATGCTCTTCAGCTTGACTCTAGTGGACTTGAGAGTAATATGTCTTATTTTTTCCTCCTCCATGCGTTGTACAGAGTCTAGGGTATGCCATTATGAGGTGTCATAGAAGGCTGATGTAACAGAAGAGTCCGAGGCATTTCAAGATTGCTCACTCACAGTTTCCCCTTCTAAGGAGAAACACCTGTGAGAACACTAAAGACAAAAACAAAACCCACTATGTATAGTTCTATGTTTTCCATAAAATAGAGAAGAGAAAACAAATAGTATTCATCTTTTTCCCAGCTCTTTGTTATCTTGTGGGGGGAAATGAGCAGAAGGCCAAGGTCCAGAACGCGCAGCAGATGCTTTACAAGTCAACCTGAAGAAGCCAGCAGTAGTGAGAATACCAATGTGACGCTCTCAGAGCATGAAAATCCTCTTTCCCACAGGTATGTAACTCTGCAGAATGAGCTCCATATGACTTCACGTTGTACATGGCATATGTCGTACATGCTCTGTTTACTTGGAAAATAATCCAAGGAAAATTTTTCTCCTGTTTAGAGAAAATCATTTCCAGTCATGTCCTCTGAAGGTTTCTGTTGATCACAGTACATTCTGTGTCATGGCGTCTTCTTTCTATGTCAAGGGTGCTTCAGTGAATTACAGCAGGCTGGGGACAAGGATTAGGAAAGAGAAGCCATCCTTTCAAAAGGGTGAGGTCTGCACAGCAGCAGCCGCGAGACTACTCTGTTCACTTACAACCTGACGATGATCTTTTCCACCCGGCTCATCCAGGCTCTGTGGTTTGCAGCGCTTAGCACTCTGGTTTAGGACTCGAGACGCAGTGGCCTTTATCCATCCTTGGGTGAGACAGGACTACATAGTCTGTCAGTGGGCACTCAGGTTGTGCTAATAACTGTTTTCCCCAAACAAAATCCATGTGGAATTGCCTTCGAGGAGGAAGCAGGGAAGTCCTGCCTGCTTGGGTGGGCAAACCCCACCCCCACCCCCCCCTTGCCCCGTTTGCACTGCCTGCTGGGAAGACAACTAGAAAGTAACCAATTAAGCACCTGATGGTAACAGTGAGATGCTTGCACAGAAACAAAGCTGTCAGTAAAAATTAAAAAAAAAGAGTGCTGCCAGGTTATTGGGCCAGAAGACAGCGTTTAGAAATCAATGCACAAAAGCCAAGCATGCTCCTTGCAGATGCAGAACTCAGGCTGGGTGAAGGCATAGAAGGGGCTTTGAAAAACAGTCTGCCAGCCAGGATTTCACCAAAAAACCTTTATTAATCTCTGGTGAATGTGGAAATGTGACAATTTTCATTTAATTCAATCTGGGCTCTCCTGGGTTGTAACTGACTTTGAATAACTCTCTTTAGACAGGGACCCTCCCCACCCCCTGCCAGTGATCAATAAATAACATTTAAAGAGCGTGGTGGTTTAAGATGCACTTCCCTGGAGGAAAAAGTGTTGAGAAACCCTACTTTGCTGCTTTAGCATAATCTCAACCCCCCACCCCCAACCCCTATGGCCAAAAAGCAGGATTGCTTTGTGTAGGGAGATAAGCTGCTCAAAGATCCTGTAATGGGAGAACGGCCTGGGCGGGAGGCTGGAAGGGGGGTGTGGGGGTGCTCCTTCTAAGTCTCTAGAGGCTCCCTGCGGCATTTGAGGGGACTGCACACCTGTAGGGCTACAGGTCCCACCCCCAGGTCAGCTCAGGATACCTCCCTGAGCGAGCAAATCTGTACTTCGTTTGGTCAACTAGCTGGAAAAAATTAATAGAGCCAACGTGTTTCTATGTTTCCTGTCACCTGCACATAAAGGGAGAGCAAAATGTCAGGCCATGCACATGTCTAAATGCTAAATGAAGGAGCTTCCAGACTAAAGGTCCATTGGTTAGCTATTCTTCATAGACTTGGAGCAGAGATCCAAGCATTTAGTGGATGGAGACTAGTTCAGAACCACTGGGTCAAAAACCGAAGCCCAAATTGCTGAAGTGCAGTGCAGGATCCCCCTTCCTGAACTGGGGCCCAGAGATTCACTACATCCTTTCACTGCCTGTAACTAGTGAAGGACTCACCTTTATCTGGGTGTTCATGTTTCAAGTAGAAATTTTTAGTTTGCCAGCCTAGAACGCTTTGTCCAGAACTCCTGGCCTTCTTGTCTCAGCTTGATCAGCCTATTTTAGGCTTTCTTTTTTCTTTTTTTCTTTTTTTCTCCCTTCGAGAGTTGGGTATAAAAAGATTATAACTGTAACCACTTTGTAAAACTGGCATAACTTACTGAGGCTGTGTGTGCACATATCCTGTGACCCAGCAAGCCCCTCTGGGACCACACTTCAGTGACGCACGCACGAGTGGTCATCAAAGATAAGAAGGTCTGTAGCAGCCTGGTTTGTAAGGCTATCGATAGCTGTGTTGTGTATCACAACCCAGAGTCTATGAGCTTTAGGATGGATTCCCCGTGTGCACCCACAGAGAGAAGGACGAGACACACCACACAGCATCAGAGTGCAGTGACTCACAGGCACACTGAGCAAAGCAGTCGCACCCACGGTTCAAGACCAGGCAGGCCTATCCCATGAGGTCAGAGATCAGGACAGAGGTGACCTATGGGAGCAGCAAGTTCAGGGGCTGAGGGGACCCCGAAAGGGCTGCTAATAAGCCACAGCTGCTCTTTCTCCTGTTCTGGCTGAAGACTCACAGAGGGGCTCGTTTGAAGGTCCATCGTGCTGTGCATTATGACTTGTGCCCTTTACTGTATACAGGTTTATTGCAACCAAAAGTAGGGAAAGGGCTGTGATGACTTTAAAAACCTTCATTAGATAGTTAATTGACATAGTTCTTTTTTTTCACAGTTCTTTACCTTAATACCTAATTTCTGCAAAATCAGACTCAGTTTTCTCTTTCTTTTTAGCTCGCACTACACCCAGATGGCAAGGATAACCTCCTTGTGTTCTTTTTTATAAGCATCTGTAGACTTATAAATAGGCACATCGATGAACCAGGCATATAACAAACAGTAAAGCAGCACCATGTGTCATGACAAGGGATAGGAGTCCATATACAAAAATCGATTTTCTCCCAATTCCAAAGACAATGATTAGGAATTAATTCACAGACTCAGCCTAGAATGAGCACATTTGTTGACTTGATTGTAGTGGCTAAAGTTCACATTAAAGGTCAACGGTGATGAGTGGTTAAATTCTTTTTTGTTGTTGTTGTTCTTTTTAGGTTAACTCAATCATGGAAGATGATCCTTCCCACAGTGTTTGTATCGACTTTTTTCCTTACAGGTAAGTCTTACTAAGTCATGATCCCTAAAGCTGTGTGACAGGATGCTTTGTTTGGTGAAAGGGATTGCAACGAAATGGCTCAGATTTGTAAATAAATGCCACAGAGAGCACTGCCAGGGACCATGTGTTCTTGAAGCATTCTTTCTTTTGTCGTTTATTTCTAACTATAAAAATAAAATAGCCTTCTCCATTGGAAATTTAGGAAGTGCCTTCTTCTCTAAGAATCCTGATTTAAAGTCTCAGAAGTTGTTTTGAAGCTAAAAACCCTTATGACCTTTTTTATTGCAAACACCTTGCAAGCTGACCTTTTCTGAATCTGGGTTGGCTCAGCTTGGGTGATGCTGACAACCAGACTCTTACTCATCACTGGATTCTTGAAGAAATGGATGAACTTGCAGTTTGCAGATTTCTAACTGCCATCACAACCCCCAGTACACTGGAAAATTGCTCCTTAATATATGGGCAATGCAAAGCCTAGAGTGTCCATTAAAATCAAGGTTTTGACCCAGTTATTGTCATGAAATGCTATTTTTTAGCATGGCAGTATTCTGAGCACTGTTTTCTTATGTTGCATGTGGATACCTGGACCGCAGGTTCTCCTAACCCTGTACCTGTCCCTGCATTGCTGGAGGGCTGCTCTTCCTTCCACTGGCTGCATCGTAGTGGGCCTGGCCTGCCCACCCCGCCTCAGCAGACATCCACATTAAACTCTGAATATACCACTTTCTACTGAGAACTGCACACTGCCAGGCTGTCTTGTTTTGATCTCTGCTGACCTTGGGCCATTACCCTCAGCTGGTCACCTCCACCTTGCTGCTGCCAGTGCCTGTCTCATGACCCCTCTGTGGATGAAATTGTCCCAGGGCATACCCCTGACCCGTGTGCATGGATTCAAGCCTGCTCTTCTTAGTCCCACCTGCTGCCTGCATACCCAGGCTGTTGGGAGCACAGAAACTAGCCTGTGAGCCACAGAACTCTGTGTTCAGGATTTTCCTCACACTGGAAACTATACCCATATTCCTTTGACTTCTTTTGGGATAGAAATATCTGTATCTTCATGGTGGATGCAAACCACCTCTTTGAGCTTCCCCACTGTGAGCTTGCCAACTTGCCCACAAATGTGCCACATCCATTTGAGGCACTGCTGATGGGCAGGAATTAAATTGGACTCAGTCTTTTTTTTAAACTGAGGTGAAATCCACATAATATACCATTAACCATTTTAAAGTGAACCATTTGGTGGCATTTGGCGTGTTTACAATGTCGTAAAACTATACTACCACTTCTAATTGCTAAACATTTTCATCTCCCCAAAAGGAAGTCCACTGCCCATAATACAGTTGCTCCCCATTCCCTTCCCCCTGCCCCTGGGCACCACCAACCTGCTTTCTGTCTCTGGATTTACATGTTCTGAATATGTCATATAAACAAAATCATAGAACACATGACCCTTTTTGTCTGGCTTCTTTCACTAATGTTTTTGAGGTTCATCCATGTTGTAGGTATATATGCTTCATTCCTTTTTGTGGCTAATATTCCAGTGTATGGCTAGGTCACAATATGTTTATACATTCAACTGTCAATGGGCATCGACTGTTTCCACCTGTTGGCTGTTGTGAATAGCGCTGTTATGAACACGTGCACTTGTGCTGGTTTGAATTCCTATTTCTAAATCTGTGGGGTCTATACCTACTAGTAAATTGCTAGGGAGGAACAGCCAAACTTTTCCACAGCAGCTGCACCATTTCACATCCCCACCAGTGGTGTATGACAGTCTTGGTTTCTCCACATCTTCACCAGCATTTGTTATTCTCCATTGTTTAGATTGTAGCCTTCCTGGTAGATGTGAAGTAGTGTCTCACTGTGGTTTTGATTTGCATTTCCCTGAAGACTGATAATGTTGAGCACCTCTTCATGTGTTTGTTTGCCATTCACATATCTTCTTGGGAGAAATGTCTATTCAAGTCCTTTGCCTGTTTTTTGATTGGGTTCTTTGTCTTTTTCTTGTTGCAAAGTGCCTTTATAGGTTCTGGATAATAGATCATTCTCAAATATATGATTTACAAATATTTTCTTTCATTTGGTAGGTTTCATTTCACTTTTTAAAATACTGTCCTTTGATGCCCCAAAGTTCTAATTTTGATGGTGTCATATCTATGATGCACTGCTAAATTTTAGGTCATGAAGATTTACTTGTATTTTTTTCTAAGAGTTTTATTATTTTCACTTTTATATTTAGATCATTGATCCATTTTGAGTTAATTTTGGTATATAGTGTGAGGTAGGGATCTAACTTCATTTCTCAGCAAATGTATATCCAGTTGTCTCAGTATCAATTGTTGAAACGACCATATTTTCCCCACTGAATGGTCTTGGCACCCTTGCCAAAAAATCAATTAGCCATAGGTGTATGGGTTTATTTTTGGATTTGCAGTTTGATCCCATTGGTCTATATTTCTGTCTTCATGCCAGTGCCACATTGTTGAGATTCTGATAAGGATTGCTTTGACTCTATAGATAGTTTCAAATCATATTACCACCTTAACAACAGTAAGTATTCCAATCCATGAACATGGGTTGTCTTTCCATTTATTTAGATGATCTCCCTTAATTTCTTTCATCAGTGTTTTATAGTTTTCCATTTTGGTTGTAAAGTGAGTCTCTTGTAAGTGAAAAATAGCTGGATCATATTTTTTAATCCATTCTTCCACTCTAACTGTTGATTGGAGAGTTTAACCATTTGCATGTAATCACTGATAAGGAAGGACTTACCCTCAGCTGTTTTCCTATTATTTTTTTTCTCTGTATATTATCCTTTTTTCCCCCTCATTTCATCCATCACTACCTTTTGTGTTTAACTGATTTTTTTTAGGGTACTAGTAGTTTTTATTATCTTCTCATTTCATTTTGTGCATGTTTTAGATATTTTCTTAATGGTTACCATGGAGATTACAACTAACACTCTAAATTCATGAAAATATAACTTGAATTGATACGAGCTTCAACAGCATGTAAATACTCTGCTCCTCTACAGCTCTGTCCCTTCCTCCAATTTTTATGTTATTGTTGCAAAAATCCACATCTTTATGCACTGTGTATCCATTAATATAGATTTATAATTATTTTTATGCATCTATCTTTTTAATCATGTAGGAAATTTAAAAAATATAAACACAAAATAAAAATACAGTAATAGCGGATTATTTATTTATGTAGTTACCTTTAATAGAGATATTGATTTCTTTATATGACATTTACTCTCTAGCGACCTTTTACGTCAGCCTGAAGAACTTCCTGTAGCATTTCTTGTAGGGAAAGTATCTTCACAATAATTCGTTTGGATTTTGTTTATCTGGGAATGTCTTGACTTTCCTCATTTGGAAGGAAAGTTTTTCTGGATATAGATTTCTTGCTTGGCAGGGGGTTTTGCCCCTGCAGCATATATTAAATATGTTACCCTACTGCTTTCTGGTTTCCATGGGTTCTGATGAGAAATATGATAATAATCTTGTTGAGAATTCCTTGTACATGTCAAGTAGAATTTCTCTTGTTGCTTTCAGGATTCTCTGTCTTTGGCTTTTAACTGATGATAGTGTGTCTTGGAATAGATCGCAGTTTATCCCAGTTAGTTTGTTGAATTTCTTGGACATGTAGATTTATGCTTTTCATCAAATGGGAAGTTTTCAGCAATTATTTCTTCAGATATTTTTTCTGCCCCTTTTTCTCCTTTCTCTGGGAACCCCAATATGTGTTTGTTGGTATATTTGATGGTGTCCTATATAGGTCTCTCAGGCTGTTTGCCTTTCTAAATTATTTTTTCTTTCTGCTTGTCCTCCTCAGACCCAGTTTCAACTGTCCTATCCTTGAGTTCATTGAGTCTTTCTTCTGCCTGCTCAAATCTGCTGTCAAGTCCTGCTAGTGAATTTTCCATTTCAGTTACTGTAGTTTCCAGTTCCAGAATTTATATTTAATTCCTTTAATAATTTTTCTCTTGATATTCTTATTTTATTCATCTATCATTTCCTTGGTTTCCTTTAGTTGTTTGTCTATGGTTTCCTTTAATTTTTGAGCATATTTAAAACAGTTGATGTAAAGTTTTTGTCTAGTAAATCCAAAGATTGGGCTTCCTCAGGGATGGTTTCAGTCAAATCTTTTTTCCTTTAATGGTCTGTACTTTCCTCTTTCTTTCTTGCCTTGTTCTTTTGTGTTGGAAACTGGGTATTTCAATATTATAATATGGTAACTCTGGAAATCAGATTTTCCCCTTTCCCAGGGATTATTTTTGGGAGCTGCAGTCATTTTTTTAGTGATGATCAATGTTCTGATATCTCAGTGGTCAACCAGGGACCTGACAGACATTTCCCGGAGTCAGTGAGAGAGAGAGAGATTGAGAACTCCTCTCCCAATCTTCACTGCTTGGCTCTAAACTGGAGCACTCTTTCCAGGCTAAGCTGGGGCACCCACAACTCTGCTTTATCATCACCTCCTACTAGCTCAGGAGCCCCAGATCCACTCAAGGTGCAAACCTGTCCTTTCTAGGGTCTTTCCAAGCATGCTGCCAGTCCTGGGCATGCACATTGCATTCCGTTTTCCCTTCCAAGCCCTACTCCCACAGGACACTTCATCCCTTACCTTCCCCTTCTCATGCCTTTGAGTCTGTCTGCCACTTGCCCCATTCACTGTGCTTTCTCAGGGGGACATAGCTGGTTTATGTATTTGAATATTTCATATACATTACAGCCTCCTAGAAAACCATTCTTGTCCAAGGGAGTGGGATAAACAAAGGTCAGCCTCTGTACCAGCCAGTCAGGGGACACTGGCAGGTCAAAATGCCCAGTCATAGTAGCTTAAGTACAGGGTCTGCATTAGCCCCTTTGTACCAGCTATGCTGTGCTAGGAATGTAGGCTGCAATCCCCACAGCCGCTGCCACCATGCTGGGAATGGAAGATGGTAGATAGGTGAGCAAAAACCCCACAGTATCTTTTAGCAAAAATAATTTGCTATTTTTTCAGTCCCCAGGTTGCTATAAGTTTGGGATTAGGTTTCATAATTCAAAAAAAAATTGATTCCATTAGTCATTGCCAGCTTATGGTTATTTCAATGGAGGACTAATTTTTTGAGCCCCTCTCCAACCCCATGCTGCCATTTTCCATATCGTCACCCAAGGATCTGACACTTTATTTAAAAGTGTATATATCCTCCATGCTAAGAGAACTTCCTACTAACACATGTAAATGTCTTAAGTGTTTCCAGATAAATTCTTTAATCAGAATTGGTGTTTTCTTTAACAGGACTTCTAAATCACCTGTGGCTTAAAGAAACAGAATTTCCTCAGAAATCCAGACAATTTTATGCTGCAATTGCAGAATATGGTTCAAGGCTCTGTAATTACCAGGTGAAGTTTTGTTAAATCATTCTGTATGTTGTCTTTTAAAATTTAATATGGTACATGGCAAGTTCAACTTGTAATATGTTATCTTTGTTTTGCATGTGAATATCTAATAGATATAATGTAGGGACCTAGGACCTGAGTTCATGCCCTTTTAACTCAGAATTCCTGTTTGCCTTAAATTTCCCTATGAAATCCTGTTTCCAGCTCACCCAGCAGCTACTGAATTCCTGTGTGTCTTGTTAAGTGGAGTTTCTCAAGTGCGTGATGGTGCCCCAGTCTTCCCCAGTGAAGAACAGGGTGATGATGTACCAGGACAACTGTGAGCCTATTGAATACATATTTCACTTTATCCTCAAAATGATCCTTTAGTAAGAGTACTACTCAATCCATTTATAGATTAGGACACTGGAGCAGACCAATTAAGGAAATTAGTGTGTGTGCCTAAGGCAGCATGAATGTAAATCCTGTAGCTGAAATTCAAACCCAGACTTTGCTGAGATGGTCCAGTTTGAACAATCTGCTGCTCAGATTTACGGTTACACACTGTACAGTGTCAGCAACCATTATAATCACTGTCACAGCGAAGAGCTTAAGACAAGTGATCACAAAATACTTGCTCTAAACATATAAGTGGTTTCTGTCTAAAACCCTATATAAAGCAGAAAGCTTAATTACTTACCCAGGAGTACAGTCTGCAACCATTACACCTTGGATTCTTCTGGACATCTTGTGGGAGTTTTGTCAAGGGAAAAAAAAAATTATGGCCACATAAGGCATTGTCAACACTCACATGGAATCTGTCCCAGCACATATCACTGGAACCATGTTCTAAAGCATAAAACCTTGGGTCACAGTCAACATTACTTGAAAAAACAAAACAGTGCTCGCTTTGGCAGTACAGTATAGTAAAATTAGAATGACGCAGATAAGATCAGCATGGCTCTGAACCAGGGTGACATGCAAATTCTTGAACTATTCCATATTTTTAAGAGTAAAATAGTTCAAAACAACAACAAACAAACAAACTCTGCCCCTGCCACTTTTGGCCTTTCACTGGACTCCACTTCTTGGGAAGCTGCCAACTCCCCACCTGCTCAGTGGCCAGCAGATGCAAACAGGTTCCCCCTTCCAGATGTCGTCAGGGTAGAGTCGTAGATGTTTCATCAGGAGTTTTGTTGGAGATGGTGACATCTTGGATGTACGGTGCAGCCTGACTGAATGCTAGGAACATGCTAAAGCATATTCCGGAGGCTTTATTGGCCCTGCATAGCCTGCAGGGAGGGACCTCCTGGAAGGGTCTTGGGAAGACTTACACTTGGTCACCGAGAGTGTGGCAGAAGGGATCAGGAGCTTTACCCAAAGCGGCTGCTCCCACACCTGTAACGTTTGTTTTCTAACACTGTGGATGCTGTGAATTTGGGTCCTCCCCACTTCTACCCCTCACCCCACCCTATTTGGACACTGAGATGCTCAGAAACAAATTGTGTGGCCCACAGCTAATAGCTTCTTGGAATTTAAGGCATGTACATATGCCAGCCTCATCCTTCACATGTGATCTTAAGGTTCCAATCCAATCACCTGTATTTTTCAGGTGTTTTGTCCTTTGTCTTCTTATACTTCATATACATATTCCTTTAGCGGAGGCCACCTGACATCCTTTTGGGAAGAAGGCAGAATAAAACACTTTTTAAAATCTTGAAATTTTTAGTTTTTGAGGAACTCTCAAATTAATTTATCAGCAAAACAGCAAAGGAGTATTTTCCATATATTCTTTTAAGGCTAGAGCAGAAAAAAGAAACAGGTTGAAAATGCTACCCCTACCAATAAGGAACTTACTCAGACAGAAACTGAAAAACTATAAAATTCCCCTTGTCACATATCACACAAGGGGCAGGGAGATGTCCCTCTGTGCGTCACGCGGCTTTTGGCAGAGTGAACTGATGGGAAGTCAGTCTTTGAAACAGAAAGGCAGGCTTATTCACAGAGAAGGATGGAGTGTTATTTCCTGGAGAACATATCGTCATCACCGTGGTGGGCGGACCCTCACAAAAGGGTGACGCCCGGAAAACTGCCTCCACGGCCAAGTCACCAGAACCTGTGGGTATGAACCTGATCTGGAAAATGAGTCCTTTCAGACACAACTAGGGATCTTGAGATGGAATCTGGATTTCCCAACGGCTCTAAACCCAAAGGCGAATGTCCTTATCAGGGATGCCCAGGGGAAGAGGCTGTGGAGACAGGCAGAGACTGGGTCCATGCAGCCCCCGCCAAGGAAGGCCAGGCACTCTGGGAGCTGGAAGCAGCCAGAAGCAGAATCTGACACTGCTGAGGCCTGCTGACACTGGGATTCAATGTCTGGCCCCCAGGACAGGGGGAAGCACATTCCCACTGTCAGCGGCAGGGTTTGCAATTGTTCATGGAAGAGGTGGAGGCCAGCAGCACCGGCAGGGGCTGGCGGATGGGACAGGGCAGCTGGGGGGAAGCAGGGACTGTAGCTTGGGGTCCACGTCCCCGAGCAGCCACCTCACTGACAACTCCACCCAGGCCTGTGCATCCCCTAAGAGCATTTTTATCCCCCAGGTCATCCTGGGCCCCACCTGCTCAGACAGCTGGTGGTCCTGCACAGACACCTGGTCAGTGAGGTGGAGCACTTCTGAAGTCAACAGGTCCCTGATGGCCTCACTGTCCACAGGGCCACCAAGGCCTCAGCAGGACCCCCACTGTGGAATGCGTGTCCCCCACCTCCCCCATGCATGTGGATCAGGTGGAAGTGTGATTTCTTTCCCCTTTACAAAGAAGAAAAAAACACCACCTGAACAGGCAGGACTCAGAACAGTTTGTCTTCCTTTTGCAGGCCAGGCTTCGTACACCAAAAGAGCAACTGGAACTTTTAAAGTGAGTGGGATCTTCTGGCACGGGGAGCGTGTGACTCCAGACACTGCATGGGTTTTTGACATTGTAAAGCCGAAATCATTCCCACTTCTGTGGATCATTCCTTAAGGAAACATACACTGGGAGGTGCTTTCAGTATTATTTATGATCTTAAAAAATGGAAGACAACCTAGAGGAGAAAAACAGACGAATGGTTAAATACATTAAATGATAGCATGTAGTGGAGAATTACAAAGTCATTACAGTAATTTAAAAATATTTTTCATGGTTTGGGAAGTGCAGCAGGACACAAAACTGTAAGAATGATTTCTATTCTGTTACCAACTTTTTTGCATAGAACAAAAGCTGTCATAAATACACTAAATGTAACTGTTTATTTCTTCAAAATTTCTGTATTTTCCAAACTGTGAACATGTGTTGTTTTATGAATTGGGAAAAATTGCTAGATAAGTGGTGATTACATTTTTCAACATAAAGAACTACCTATTGGATTGACATTTTCTTATTCTCTCCACCAGTTCTCTCAAACTGTAAGAGTAGCAGAACCTATTCTTTGGAAATAACATCATCTACCCTCATGCCCCAAAATAATGAAAGGCAGCTGGCTTGGCAGGATCGCCTAGCCACCTCTTGCCTGAGACTTCTCCATGGAACCTCAGGGCTCACCTTAAAACCCACTGCTCCATGCCACCCTGGAAATGCAGTGTGTTCCCAACCCACACACTGCGAGGTTCCCCAGCCTCAGGTCTAGATGGAGAGCCAGCAGACTAGGGCTGTGCAAGGCTGCTTGAGCCCCACCTGCCAGGGAAGAGCACCCCCAGGCAGTAGGACTACCTCAGGATAGCTTCCCCTGAAGGTCTCCTTTTCTTAGGAAGTGCCAGGCAGTGTTTTAGAAAAGTACGTGTCCCCCGAGCATCCCCACTCAAGACTTCAATTCTCCTACAACATAAAGCACCTCATTCTTCACTGTGCTGCTCCCCAAACCCAATACCAGCTGAAAACAGGCAGCTCACCCCTCTTCCCTTCTCACTGGGGTCTCCATTTACAGGAAGGAAAGCCAGACCTTGAAAAACCACTTCCATGAAATTTCAATTTTGATTGAGCAAATGGATGTTCTGAAGGCCTTACTTAGAGATATGCAGGACGGTCTGCACACTTATAACTGGAATGCCAACGGAGACCCCACTGAGGTCCAGGATCACATGGAGGTCAATGATGAGGTAAGGTGGGTTTGGGAGGGTGGCAGGGGGCATGGTTAGCATTGGCTTCTGATGTCACATTCCAGGACTTCTTTGAGTGGAGAAATCCAGGGCTGACAGATATGGGCTTGTGACCCCTTTAAAATTCTGCCCTGCCATTAGCTGACTGTCTCTAAAGCTTGCCCCTGGAAACCCACATTTCATAATAGCTGTGTCACAGAGAAGGCTGTGTATTGCAGTGTGACTTACTTCCCACCAAAATAAATAAATGGTTGTTTTATTTTATTTTAAAAACAAAAGATTGTTCAGAAATGAGTCTCTGGATGTCTGTACACAGATACTTAACTGGAAAAATATTTTTACTCACAGACCTAAAGCCAGTGCATTTGGTCTAACGAGCACCATGTTAGGCAGCAATGGGACGAAGGCCACGGAGCTTGGCTTTTCCCCTCTCTGTCTCTGTGGCAGCAGTTGTGTCTTCTAGGACACTTGCTTTTTTAGAATCAGAATGTCCTTAAGGACCCTGTACTAATTCAAAGGATGAAATATTTCTGACATAAGCAATCACAGACTCTCTGTAAACTAACATGATTCCTGAATACCTACAAAGTGTTCAGGTCTCTCTCACTTAGCACAGACACTAATGAAGGAGGGGACCCAGCAAGTCACACACACAACCTCATTTGCCACCCACACTGCAGAGCATGACGGGGCTGCGGTCAGGACTGCAGAGGGTCCTTGGCTCCAACCTTGTTCTGGGACTTTGGGGGAGAGATGATCACAGTTTAGATACCGCAGTGCATGAGAAGCTCTGATCCTAGTGAGCAGGGAGGGTGATGTTAGGAATCCGTGGGCCCAGCCTGGCTCTGCATGTGGCTGGGCAAATGTTCACTGTTATTATTTTCAGATTAGGGAATTTAGGTCCAAATTAACAGAGTGAATTGTCGAAACACAAGCAGTTGGTAGAGATTGTTAACAGAAAAACACTTTTTTAACTTTGTACAGGAAATCTCAAACTTGGTAAATTACATACTTAAAAAGTTACGACAAGACCAAGTCCAGATGGCTGATTATGCCCTTAAGTCAGCAGGTGAGTAAAGAAGTGACAAGGCCATTGTGAAAATGTAACGCCATGAAAGTGTCACTGTTCTCTGTGTCCCTTTATTAGAAAAACAAACTTATCTATCTGGTAACTTAGTAAGGAAAAATTAACAAATCCAGGCATTAAAGAAGAGGATAGAAATGGTTGCAGTTGCTGGCTTTCTGGGTGCAAATCTCAGAGGGAACAAAAACCTCAACAGCATACTTTGAAAACAAATCTTCACCAGCATGCATCAAAAAGGACTACAAAGAAAGGTCACACACCACAGTAAAGTTGGGATGCAGCAAAATGGCTTAAGCATCATAAATATTGTAACATTTTTGTATTTTTTATACTAAAATGCTAATGACTAGTCTAAGTGCATTACTAGTGATGAAATGATAGTGATTGATGGCTATATTTAATGCTTAGACTGTGAATCATTAAGTTTAATATTCTTTATAAGACTCTGCCTGTGAGTGTCTATGAGCTATCCATGTTCACTGAGCAATATGGAAAGAGAGGAGGCAGGAAGAGTGACAGAAGAGGGAGGAAATATAAAGGACACACAGTAACACTAAGTTTTATCAGTTAACAAAGCCAAATTTATCCTGGGCAAATAAACTGAATCCTGCAGGAAATGAGCTCTTGGACCAGAATGATTATCCATTGCATTGTGTGTGTGTGTGTGTGTGTGTGTTGAGAAAGAAAGAGTAAGAGAATAGGCTTGCCTAGATCTAAATTCCCTGAAGCATGGGGAGGAAAAGCATTGAGATAAGACATGGGGAGGTAAGCCATAGATCTTTGTGGAAGTTCCATGTGCATTTACAATGAAGGTGTATTCTGGCATTGTTTGGTAGAATATTCTATAAATGTCAATTAGATTTAGCTTTTGAAGTGTTGACAGATCTTCTGTGTTCTGATATATTTCCTATTTTCTTTTTTTATTAATAAGAGAGAAGAGTATTGAAGGCTCCAATTAAAATTGTGGATTTGTGTATCTAATTTGATGTAACCATGTTTAGGATTATTATGTCTTTTTGGTGAATTTCTCCTTTTATCATTATATAATGATAATATGAAAGCATAATATAATAATAATGTTCTATGTCCTGAAGTCTACTCAGTCAGTTATTAATGCAGCCACTCACTTTGTAAATGATTATTGCTGGCATGGTACATCTTTTCCCATTCTTTTACTTTTAACCTATCTATGTCGTTTCAAAAACATTTCTTATAGACACCAACATGCTAAATGACATGGTTAGAGGTAAGTCTACCATTTTATGACTTTCTTTTTGTCTCCTTTGGTTTTCTTCATCTGCTACCCCTATCTGCATTCTGTTATATTAATTGATTTTTTAATTCCTTTTTACCTTATCCATGGGCTTTTGAATGTCTCTTTGTATTTTTTTCAGTGGTTGCTCTGGTAATTACAATAAATATACCTTTGAGGTTAATAGTTCACTATTTCATGTAAAATATCAAATCCTTACAACCATAGAGTTCCCTTTAACTTCCCCACTGACCTTTCCTTTGGAGTTGTCATGCAGTATGTCTGCATGTATTAAAACCCTATCAAATAATGTTGTAATTTTTCCTGTCAACAATCATAGCTATTTTAAAGACTTGCCAAAGAAAATGATCTCATATTTATTCAGATGTTTATCTTAATTGTTGCTTTTTATTTATTCCTGAGCTTCCAAGTTTCCTTTTGGTGTCATTTCCTTAAGCGAGAAGAACTTCCTTGAGCAGCTCTATTGACAAAGAATTCTCTTGGTTTTTCCTTCATCAGAGAATGACTTCATTTCTCCTCCATTCTTAAAGCATATTTCACTGGATCCAGAACTCTGCGTTGGCATTTCCTTTCCTTCAGCACTCGGCAATGTAGTTCCCTTATTTTCTGGTGTCCTTGGCTCTACAAGGGCTCCCACCTTTTTCATGGGCAGATGTTCCAACCTCAGTTCAGTTTTCAGAGTCTCTGCTACAGGTTTGTTCTGCCCAAGTGCCACTCAGTGCTCAGTCTTAGCCTTGAGCCATAGCTTAGCTCTGTCAAATTCCCACGGCCTTTGCTATGCTGCTTTGGACTTGTCCCCAGGAGTGAGCAGCCGAGAGCTAAGTCTGGAATGGCCACATGCATGTATGAGATCAGGCATCTTCCCTCCAGTCTGTCTTCTCATGCCTTCTTCTACACTCTCTGGCCTATAGGATTATTTTATTCTGCTTCTTTCTAGAAAGGTGGACTTTCCTTCATAATTTTATCTGCCTATCCCACTCACTGTCATTACTTTGCAGCTCTGTAACTGCAGCCTGCCTCAACCTAAGCTGTGAGAGAAAAGAAAAACAATAAACTCACCCCCACACAGGTCACTTTTCCAAGTGGATGGTTCACCTCTGTGATCTGCTACTATTGTTCACTTTTCATCATACTCAGGTGGTTGTTTTTATATTTTATCCAGATCTTGCAGTTGTATATAATCAGTGCATGAGAGGAGCTGGCATGGGCTTTTCCATCCTGGCCCAGCCAGAAGCTGCTATTGTATCTCATGCTAAAACTTACTGAGAAACCATATCACTTCCTGCTTCTTTGTTTACATGGGCTATCCCTGCACCTACATTTATCATCATGGGCTTTTCAAAATGGAAGTTGTAAATACGTTCAGTAGAAAAGAAGGAAGGAGGCATGAAAAGGGTGTACCAGGATACCAAGACTTAAAAAACCATATTTTGGGCTGTAGGCAAAAATAAATTTAATATAATTGAAACCATATTGAGTATTCTGTCTGGCTATAATGGAAATATAACCTAGAAATCAATAGTCAGAAGGTATCTAGAAAATCCTCAAATATTTGGGAATTAAAAAGTACATTTCTAAATTACCCAGGGAACAAAGAGGAAGTTACAACATAAATTAGAAAATATTTTAAATTAAATGAAAATGAAAACATAAAATATCAAAACTTATGGTATGCAGTTAAAGCAGCACTTTGAGCAAAATTTATAGCAACAAATATTTACATAAGAAAATAAGAAAGGTCTCAAAACAATTATGTAATTTTTCATGTAAGGTAGTAGGACTTAAAGCAAGGAAGAAAAATAAATAATAAAGAACAGAAATTAATAAAATTTAGAGAAAAACAATGAAACAAAAAATCCATTTTTTGAAGAAAAATTGATAAAACTTTAGCCTGACCAACCAATGAGAACATAAGGAAAAGACACAAATTACCAACATGAGGAATGAGAGGACAGACATCATTACAGACACTATAGGACTAAAAAGATAATAAATGCATATGAAAAACAACCTCATGCCCCCAAATTTGACAATTTAGAAGAAATTGACTAATTTCTCAAGACACAAACTATCAAAGTTCACTCGAGAAGTAGATAACCCATGTTTATTAACACATTGAAACTTATAGTAAGAAACCTTCTAAAAAAGGAAACTTTCAACCTCAGATGGCTTCACTGGTGATAGCTACCAAACACTTAAGAAAGAAATAATATTAGGACACAAACATAAAGTAGGAGAAGAGGGAGAACTTTCTGTTTATTTTATGAGGCCATAATAACCCAAATACTAAAACTAGATAAAGACATTATAAGAAAAGAAGTATATAGGGCAAGATACCTCATGAACAGAGGACTTCGCTTCATCTATTTCGAAGAAAAGAAAATTGCATGACCATCAAATTAGATGCACTAAAATCAATGAACAAAATTCAATATCTATTTATGATACAAACTCTGAGCAATCTGAAAAAGAGAATTTCCTCAACCTGATAAAGGACACCTGTAAAATTCTCCCAGCTAATACCACAGTTACTGGTAAAAGAGAAAACACTTCCAAGACTAGAAACAAGGTAAATTTGTCAGCTCTCATCATTCCTCTTCAGCATTATAAAATAAGCCCTAGCCAGTAAGATAAGTCAATACATAGTCAGAAGGATAAAGAAGCACATAAATTGGAAAGGAAGAAATAAAAATATCTCTATTCACAGACAACATGATTATTTACCTAGAAAATAACAAAAAAGTCTCCTAGAACTAACATTAGGTTAACAAGTTCAATTGTAAATATATCTTTTAGATAATAGTAAATAAAAAATAGAAAAAGAACATTTAAAAAAGTAGTATTCATAATAGCAGTAAAAAACATGAAATACTTAGGTATAAATCTAACAAAATATGCACAGGATTTACATGTTAAAATTTAAAAAGCACTAGTGAAAGAAATAAAAGATTTAAATAAGTAGACAAACATATCATGTTCATGGATTTGAAGGGTCAATATTGTTAAAACGGTAATTATCTCTAACTAGTTTACTGAGTCAATTCCAGCAGGATTGTTTATGGAAATCTACAAGCTGTTTCTAAAAATTATATGGAAGGCAGAAGAACTAGAATAGCCAAAGGAAGAACAAAGTTGGAAGACTCACACTTCCTAACTCTTAGGCTTATTATAAAGCTTCACTAGTTAAGGGAGTGTGGTATTCATGAAATCAGTGAAACAGAAGAGTAAGTCCAAAAATAGATTCACACATATATGGTGGATTGTGTTTTGACAAAGGAGAAAAGGCAACTCATTGGTATGGAGGAGCTGGCCATTTATATGTAAAAATAAATGTCGACTCATCACTCACACCTTATAAAAATTAACTCAAAATGGATCATAGACCTAAATGTAAAGTTTAAAGCTCTGAAATGTCTAGAAGAAAAAAATAAGAGAAAATCTTTGTGATTGAGTTGGGGAAAGCTTTCTTAGATAGATACATGACCCATAAAAGAAAAAGAAAGTATAATTTTGACTTCATCAAAACTAAAAACTTCTGCTGTGAAAGAGGTAAGAGCAGGAAGAATCACAGGCTGTGAGAGAGTATTTGCAAACCACATAGTTGACAAAGGACTTGTATCTAGAATTTATTAACACTCTAATCTTCCATAATAAGAAAACAGCCAACCCAATAAAAAATAGACAGAAGATTTGAAAGTCATTTGATTGAGGAAGATACATGAATGTCAAAAAAGCATATGAGAAAATGCCCAGCATTATTGTTCATTAATGAAATATAGATTTAAACCAGAGAGATATACCACTACATACCTATCAGAACAGCAAACAAACAAACAAAAAAAGTGCTGGCAACAGTGGGAAACACCAGTGACTCTCACAGCTGCTGTGAAAAGGTAATATAATGCAGCCATTTTGAAAAACTCTGACAATTTCATATGAAGTGAATGACAATGCTTATATTATGCCCAGTAATCCCACCTCTAGACATTTACCTAAGAGAAATGTACACTTATGTTCACAACAAAACTTGTACATGAATGTCTATAGCAACTTAATTCATAATCATCAAAGGTGGAAATATTTCAAATGCCTGCCAGCAGATGAATGAGTAGGTTGTTGATATATCTATGCATTGCAATACTGTCAGCAACAAAAAGGAGTGAGTAGGGGCACTCATTACCACACACAGGAATCCCAAATTCATTGCTTGTACTAAATGAATGAAGCTGTATTCAAAAATCTCTACACAGAGACAGTGAGATAGAAAATGAAGGATCGGCAAATCTATAGCTACAGCAAGCACAGGACTGATGGCCCCAGGGCTGGGGTGGAAGGGGAGATCAGAAGCGGGTGACTAAGTGCTGCAGGGTTTGGGCAGGCTGATTGAAGATGTTTTAATATTGATTGTAGTCATGGTTGTGCAACTCTGAATACACTAAAAACCACTGAATTGTACACTTTAAATGGGTGAATTGTATAATATGTGTATCATACCTCAAAGCTGATTAAAAAGTTTTAAACTAATTAGATGTGAATAAATATGAATTATTCAAAAAACCCTACATACCGCAATTAAAAGTTTTTCTTGATTAGATGGGGGTCAGAGGGCAGTCCTCCCATTCCCACGTGAAAATACAGTTCCTGTCCAATCACAGAATAGAAATATTAATCATGTGAGCCAACAACAGTGTCAACATTCAAACACAAGACACCCCAGGATGGCCAGGTAGAATGAGGGATGCCCAGTGAAAACTGAAATCGAGACAACCAGCAAATAGTTTTTTCACATAAATATCTCCCAAATATTGTATGGGACACCCTAGTACTAAAAAATTTCTCACTGTTTATCTGAAACTCAAACTTCACTTGGGAGTCTTGTATTTTTACTTGCTAAATCTGACCACCCTCGGCACACACTCACTACCTCAAATTGTGCCATCCTCGAAAAAGTACTGGTAATCAGATATTCAGTCAGGCCCATTAATGTGGACTGCCTTAGCCTGATGAAATTTGAGGAAACTATTTGTGTTTTGTTTATTTCTTATGTCTAAAATACGCTCTGCTTCGAAATGAAGTAACCTGAAGGAATAATATTTGGTGAATATATTTTATATTTCCTGGATTAAAATTAAAGCTCAATCTGTGGAATTGCTGTCATTAATATAACTTGTTAGTACATTTATGACATTGTTGGATTTTCTGCTTTTTCATTTTTGAGAGAATAGGGCTGACATAGAAATCTCATCATCACATGAGCTGTTAAAATATCGGGGTCCATATGTCCCTTTAGGTAGTAAACACAATCCACATAATATTCCTATGTCTAAATCAATTGCCCCAGAATTCAATTTTTATTGTAACATCAGTTTCAAAAGTTTTGTGAAACCATACAGAGCAAGGCCTGCCTTTCTCAAAGTGACAAAATATTAAAATCTGAATAATGATGTGCTTTGAGTTGCAGCACATCAAAGCAGAGGAATTATTTTATAATTTTAGGAGCCTCCATCATTGAAACCGGAACCTCAGAAAGTTACAAAAATAATAAAGCAAGGCTGTATTGGCATTGGATGGGCTTCCTAAACTATAAGATGCCTCCAGACATCATTCTTCAGGTAAAAGCTAGATGAACAGTAACCCATTTATATTTTAGGATTTTGTTCCTATTACTTATCACGAAAACATTAATGTCTAAAATGGAAGCAACTCTGGACTTGTCACAGAACCTGAAACCATCTCCTTGCTTTTTACAGTCATCAAACTACTTGGGTTATTTCTTATGATATGAGCTATGGTTAATTACTTAACTATTAATTATTATTTTAAGATCAGTAAATGAGATTATTTACTTCTCAAATAGCACATACATATTCCATATCTTTTCTCAAAGCTGATTGTGTGGCCTCCCTTTTTCATTGAAAATGTCACTTTGTTGAAGGTGCATGTCCCCTATGTGCCTGTATGTGCTATTCAGGCCAACACATTCTTATATAGGCCAATTGTAATAGGAAATCTCCAAATAACACTTCAACTAACATTTCAGTTCAACTCAAAAGGTGGTAGATGTCAAAGGTAGAGCTCTTCTCCACTGCAATATACACACCTGAAGTTAGTTTCCAGTTTAGAAATACCTTCAGGGTCAAACCTATAGATCTTATTCCAGAATACAGTATCGATCTAGAAAATGATAGACATCGTTTTTCTTCCTTGCCACCAGTGCCATCACCACCTCCACTACCACCATCACCTCCACCATCCCTCCCACCCTCACGGTCACCACCACCACCATCACCTCCACCATCCCTCCCACCCTCACCGTCACCACCACCACCATCAATCTTCACGACTAGTGTCATCTACGCGCCATCACCACTTATACCAACTAGCCGCCTTCTAACCACTTGTAGTCTAGTTACAGCAATGCAAGAAAACATGCTTGTATACTAAAGGGCTCTGAGTGATATAAGCACAAAATGCTCTGGCAGAACAACCAAACCTTTTGGGTGTCTTGGAAGTTTTCCGTTTGAGATGATTGATAGGCTACAACGCCTTCATGACAGGCATAAGTGAGATCTGTGGTCAGTAGTGATTAGCTGCCCATTATCGCAGGGGTGGATTTACCTAACCAGATAAAGAGATTAACTCGGTGTTTTCTTTCTAGCCGGATGTCCACCCTGGAAAGTGCTGGGCCTTTCCAGGTGCCCAGGGTCATGTGCTGATCAAGCTTGCCAGGAAGATCACGCCAAATGCAGTTACCATGGAGCACATCTCAGAGAATGTGTCTCCCTCAAGAAACATCTCCAGTGCGCCCAAGGAGTTTTCTGTCTACGTAAGAAGCTCTAAATCCTTGTTCAGAGTGGGTTATGATAGAAGGTAGTTGGCTAGGCATTAGGAGCTGGGATCTCATCTGAACTCTGCAGCTAGCCTTTTGTATTCCTGTGAGAAAGTCACTTATTTCCCAGACCACTGCTTTGTCCCCTGCAAAGTAAGAGGCTTGAACCAGATGATTTCTATTACTTAATTTTAGTTTTTTACTTCTATCAAAGTCATCCATGTACAATTTAAAGACCAACACATCCACACATTTATAATGAAGCCTGGTTTCTCCTTGTGCCACTGCTCCCACCCCCACGTTTTATTCCCAGGAGCTCCCACTTGGCAACAGTTTTAACTGCTTATTTGGGTACACGTCTTTATCAATATTTTTTATATTTTCACTTTTTCATAGTTTAAACCTTTACTGTTATTTCTTGATTTTTCGGTTTTGATTATTACCTACTAACCTCCTCTGATGGAAAATGAAGATTATCCCTCTTCTCTGGCTCTTCCATCTTCACAAAATGTTTATGTCTTACTTATTAAAAAAAAAACAGGTTTATTGAAATATAATTCACACATCAGCAATTTGCTCATTCAAAGTGTACATTTCAGTGGCTTTTAGTATATTCACAGAGTGGTGTATTCTGAACCACCATCAATCTGAGAATACTTTCATTATGCCCAAAGAAATCCTGTGTCCCTTAGCTGTCTCCAGCACCCCCAGCCCCACCCCCAGTTCCTGGCAACCACTAATCTAATCTGTCTCTATAGAGCTGCTTCTTTAGGCCATTTCATAGAATCATATAGTATGTGGTCTTTTGTGAATGTCTTCTTTCACTCAGGATCATGTTTTCAAGACTCATCCGTGTGCCAAAACTTAATTTAAAAAAATTGCTGACTAATATTTCATTGTATGGATAGAGAACACTTTTTTCCCCCATTAATCAGTTGATGGGCATTTGAGTTGTTTCTACTTTTTTTTTCCATGTGTAACTTTTTTTCAACTGAGGTACATACAATAAAATGCACAAATCTTAGTGCACAGCTTGATGAATATTTTCACTTTGGACTATCATGAATAATGCTGCTATAAACATTTGCATATAAGCTTTCTTGTGGACATTGGTCTTCATTTCTCTTGGATCCAAATGTAGGAGAGGAATTGCTGGGTCAATGGTAAACCTGCCTTTCATGCCCAAACACTGCTAGGCAGCATATTCTACTTTTAGCTTCAGTCAGTATTCAGTGCTTTCATATAACTCTGTGAACAATACCCACGTCAGCTAAGCCATAGAGTTATAGTTGAGGACTATTTTTTGTGTAAAATTCTTTATATTCTCAAGGATAACAGCCTCATTTTAATTTAATTTGCTTAGTGTTCTATGTTCCTATCAGGAAAACATTCCAACCTCTTCTTAAGAAGTTCAAACACTCCCCCAGTGTGTTCATTCATATCAGATAATTTATAAATTTCTTTCCTATGTTGTAAAGACATCTCTGTGGACTCCTGTGCCCCTCTGCTCCAGTCTGCCTGGCTGCTGGCTGGACCTGATGTTCAGCTGTCATCAGGGGCTTTTATTTCCTAACTGGAGGATTCCACCTACCATCTAACCTATTATTTAATAGATCTTTTCTCTGTTTTCTTTCTTTGTTTTTTGTTCCACCATCATTTATAGAGTCTAAATTTCTTCATACATGGATGCAGTGTCCTCTCTTATGCCTCGGGAAGTTATTCGTGGACACTAATTACACTTTGTCTTCTGCCTCCTGGCTTCATTCCTATGCGTTGACAGTGGCACTGTCTTTCTCATGAGGGGCTTTTCCCTTGTGTCTGGAAGTGCTTGTCTTTCACATTTAACAGCTAAACAGTAAAAAGCTGGCTGGAAGCTTTGCATATATGGTGGTCTGTCCATGGTGAGTCCTGTGATCAGCCTCACTCTTTCCTTACAAGCCCTTGGGTTAAACACCTTTTGGGTGCATAGGGCAGTTCTGGCACATAGCACAGCACCTGCGCCTGGTAGACACCTGAAGATATCTATTGAATTGTTGCTACTTGAACAAATACTGTCTCCATTGATTTAAACTGAGTGTCCATTCATGACGGCCTCTGTCTGATGCTTTCTTTAATAGGGCATCTTGAAACAATGTGAAGGAGAAGAAGTGTTCCTAGGTCAGTTTGTATATGACAAAACAGGAACCACTGTTCAAACATTTGAGCTCCAGGTAAGGAGAGTCCTGGGAAAAGATGGGTTTGTTGGTGAGCTTGACACAAAGTGGTGTTGAGGGTGATGACGACAAAAGTCAGAGTGAAGGAAGGCTTACCCAAACTTCAGTTCTCAGCTCCAAGCGCTTGTGTGGATTTTATGATGCAAAAGACAGGCAAACTCCAAAGTAGTTTCTAATCCAAATCTTCCTCATTTGCTATCACTTTTTTTAAAAAGTACTGTTTCTTTTGGAAAGGGGAACAATTTCTTTTGGAAATAGGGACAATGGTGCCATATGAGATGACTGGAGGCAGAGAGGAACTCAGAGCAAGAGAGAAATATTTAATGTCAGAGACTATAAGTAAACCTACTCTTATAAACAACTCTTATATAAACGACTGTTATCATATAAAGCCCCTGAAAGTCATTAAGGTATATGAAATATATTTGTATTATTTCTCATTAGCCACAGGAAGTAATGGAGACTACAGGAGGCATCCCATACCATGGAAAAACAAGTGTTTTATGATACTCTTCTTGGCCAATGCTGAGAAAATCTAACCTGAAAACAATAGATGTTAGAAATGAATGTAGCTGTAATTTCATATTTGATTATAAAATCACATTTCTCTGTCCCTCCCACCCTGGGTTGGCCAATTAGGAGCATGGTGGGTTGTGACAGGATGGTGGCAGTGAGAAGTTCTTGGGGCTCTAGGTCACCATATTATCTTTCCCAGTGTTTGAAATACCTGTGCTAGGAAGGAAAAAATTAATTTTAATTTTTCGTTATATCAACATTCCTTGGGATTCTTTGAGGTAGATTTCTTTATAGGGCATTAATTTTATCTTTTCTTTTTCTTTGCTTTTTTTCTTTCTATTTTTAGCATGAAGTTTCTGAAACCTTATTATGTGTAAAACTTAAGGTCCTCAGCAACTGGGGACATCCAGGGTACACTTGTTTATACCGGTTCCGGGTCCATGGCACCCCAGGAGACCACACCTAGGAGAGCTGGTGCAGAAGGCCGTGTCCACACATCCAGAATATTCAAGTATTCTTATCTTTAGATTTGAGGCAGCCATAAGAATTGAAAATCAGAAGTGGGAGGGAAACTTCAAAGTGGCTCCTACTTGCATGAGATGACTGGAGGCAGAGAGGAACTCAGAGCAAGAGAGAAATATTTAATGTCAGAGACTATAAGTAAACCTACTCTTATAAACAACTCTTATATAAACGACTGTTATCATATAAAGCCCCTGAAAGTCATTAAGGTATATGAAATATATTTGTATTATTTCTCATTAGCCACAGGAAGTAATGGAGACTACAGGAGGCATCCCATACCATGGAAAAACAAGTGTTTTATGATACTCTTCTTGGCCAATGCTGAGAAAATCTAACCTGAAAACAATAGATGTTAGAAATGAATGTAGCTGTAATTTCATATTTGATTATAAAATCACATTTCTCTGTCCCTCCCACCCTGGGTTGGCCAATTAGGAGCATGGTGGGTTGTGACAGGATGGTGGCAGTGAGAAGTTCTTGGGGCTCTAGGTCACCATATTATCTTTCCCAGTGTTTGAAATACCTGTGCTAGGAAGGAAAAAATTAATTTTAATTTTTCGTTATATCAACATTCCTTGGGATTCTTTGAGGTAGATTTCTTTATAGGGCATTAATTTTATCTTTTCTTTTTCTTTGCTTTTTTTCTTTCTATTTTTAGCATGAAGTTTCTGAAACCTTATTATGTGTAAAACTTAAGGTCCTCAGCAACTGGGGACATCCAGGGTACACTTGTTTATACCGGTTCCGGGTCCATGGCACCCCAGGAGACCACACCTAGGAGAGCTGGTGCAGAAGGCCGTGTCCACACATCCAGAATATTCAAGTATTCTTATCTTTAGATTTGAGGCAGCCATAAGAATTGAAAATCAGAAGTGGGAGGGAAACTTCAAAGTGGCTCCTACTTGCATTAAAAGGTGAATGAATTTTATTAGTAAAAAATATGAAAGCAAATTCAATCTCTTTTGAATACATATTTAGAAGATAGTATTGTTCTGTTGCTGGGCAGCTGCATGTGGGGAGGCCTCTCCCTGCTCACTAGGTGAAACTTCATCCTGGACAGGGGACGGTTCTTGACTCTGATCAGGAAAGAACTCTCAAACTGTTCAGACAAGTGTAGGTGAGGAAGGAATGCAGTAAAGCAAGAGTAGCAGCGAATGTCAGCAGGTGTGCAGGCAGGCAGCAGAGAGCAAGGAAGAACAGGGGGAGGAAAGGGACATTCAGTCAACTGCTACTTGGCATGGGGCAAATACTTTGCCAACTCTTAAAGCCAGGGTCACCTGGTATCCAGTGTCCACTTGAATCTTCACTGTGTGGGAACTAAGCCCCTACCACCCCAGGATTTGGGGGAGCCACACAGCACTGGATGGAGTGAGATTATGTTCTGAGAACTTCCCAAAGGCAAAGAAAGGAGATTTGGGGCAAGCTACTAAAGAGCATGATTGTACAGCTGCTGTCCTGTCTGGGTCACCCAGGTGACAGGAACTCGCAAGCCCAAATCAGAGATCTTAGTAGCCCTTCCCTATTAATCTGAAGTGAACAGAGAGAAGACTAATGCTTAAGTCTAGAAAATTGAATGAAATAGCAAAATAACAAAGATGCTTACCACTGGAAGAGCACAGAGACAAAACACAGTAATGCTGGGGTAAGTTTGTTTTTCTCAGTTCTTGTCCTCACCGCAACAAAGAATTGAAGGGCAGAGACACAGTAGTGAAGCAGAAGGAAAGTTTTATTTGAGTATACTCTAAGGTAGGAATGGGCTCGACTCAAGGTAGATAAAGGCAGGTTTACTTGCTTATCTGGAGTAGGACAGGGAGAGTGAAGATTTATGCTTAAAGTCTGGAAAATGGACTTGAATGGCAAAGTGACAGACACCACTGGGAGAGCACAGAGACCAAGGGCAGTAAGTTGAGCAGTAAAAAGTCTTTTGAAAATACATGCTCAAAGAAAGGGGAGTGAGGGCAACCTCAGAGAGGATGAGGTGCACCCAAAGGCTGGGATTCCATCTCTTAAGGCTTTCAAGAATGGGGCAAGTGTAAAGGGTCAAGGGCATAGCCTCATCAGATGGCCTCATCTCATGATTTTATCTCTGGGGAGAGACAATATGTCATTGTCTATAGCTAGTCCTCTAGGTAATTCTGTAGGACAAATCTTTTATTTCTCTTTAAAATAGCGGCCACTCCCAAGGACTAGGAGCACATCAGTTAAGACTGCTTGCCTTGCCTTAAGATAAGTCATTGGCTGAATCCAACTTTCCAGTTCTCTCTCAAAAGTGGTATCTTAGCCTTAAGATAAGTCTCTCCTGTTCTTATTATGCAAATCTTGTCATTTTTAAGGAAAATTAATGATACTTGTCCCTTGTCTCTGCCCTGTCTCACCTGCATTAGGAGGAGCAAGGAGCAAGTCTCAAGGTCAGCTCAGGTTCAGAGCATGTGGAATGAGCTCACCTTGAAAGGGCATGAGTCCTTTCTAGCTCTCTGACTTAACCTGATGAGCTCCCTGAGTTCTTGGTAGGCCCCACCCTCTTTTCATCCAACTCATACCTATCTTTCTGCCTAATAGTAAGTTGGGCATCAAGAAGGCTTTATTAAAGGCAAAGTAGACACTTGGAGAAAGGGGAGTGTGGGCAACCTCAGAGAGAGCATGATTAAAGGCTTAGGATTCTGTCTTTTAAGGCTTTCAAGAATGGGGCAAAGGGTAGGGGTGCAATGTAGGGTTGCCATGTGGTATCATGTCTATCTCCACTGAGAGACATTGTATCATCATCGATGGTCTGCCCTCTAGATATTCCATAAGATAAGTTTAACACAAGGAATTTCTTGACCCTGTTCTTCTCCAAGATAGTGGTTACCCCCAAGCAGTGGGAACATACCATTTAGGACTGCATGCCCTGATTTAAGATATGGTCTTAAGTGGACTTAAGTTACTGGCTGATTACCATAAAATATGTTAGGAATCTTACCTCCTAACTCCCTGGTTTATAAAATGGAATCTTAGACTTAAGATGAAGTCCCTCCTGTTCTTACTATACTATTTATATCTCACCATTTTTCTTCAGAGGCAGGAAAAATTAATCATGATGCTTGTCCCCTGACCCTGCCCTACCTCAGCTCACCAGTCTTCCTCATTATAGCATTTTTTCCTTCATTTATTCATTCATCTATACCAGGCATGGATGCCCAACTCTTTCCACCCTTATTTAACACTGATCTGAAAGTACTGGTCAATCTGATTAGATAAACCAAAGAAATTAAAGGTAAAAATTAGAGAGGAAGTCCAACTATGACTATTTACAGATGATTTGACGAATTCTTTGAAATGCAATATAGTCAATTGAAAAATACATTGCAAAGAAGAAACTGCAGTATGTTCATGGATACAAAATTATCACCCATAAATCAACATCATTCATAAATACAGACAATGGTTAGAGGGTGTACTTTACAAAAGTCACAAAGTTAAATAAAACCAAAAGATTAAACTACCTATGTGAAACTTCCAAATAGCAGTGGCTGCCTAGAAATTACTTCAATTAATGGAAAGACGTCTTTATGTGTGGACACGAAAACTATCAAGATGTGAATTTTCCCAAAATTAATCTATGAATTCTATTTGATTTCTATTTAAAAAGCAGAAAAACATTTATGGTATTGATGCTGGGGTTCTTGTTTGTGGAGTTGAAAAACGAACTTAGTAAACACTCAAGGTATGAGAGCCACTGTCCATCAGCGTAGTAAGATGCTATAGAATCACTACTTGTATTTAGAGATACAGTGAGAGGACAGAACTCCTGGCTCACGCCAGGAGGGGACAAGAGAACCTGTGATGGGGCATTGTCTAAGGGATTTATAGTCGGTTGAGGATTTTCAGGTAAAGGTGTAGGGGTGCAGACTTGTACCATCTGCCCTGCTCCCAAGGTGGGATGAGTTGTCTGTTTGCTAGGGCTGTTTACAATGAAGTCATGGGTTATGCTGAGATACCCTGCTTTATTTGCAGAAGACTCAAACATGCCAGGCCAAGTTGTCCTGGCCTTTTGACCTTTAACTGATCTCACTGAAGATATCTATATTCCTAGCCAGGTATCTTTTTTTTTCTTTTAATTTTTTAAAAATTTTGCTATCATTACTGTACAATTGCATGAACAACATTATGGTTACTAGACTCCCCCTATTATCAAGTCCCCACCGCATACCCCATTACAGTCACTATGCTGATGAGCATAGTAAGATGCTATAGAATCACTACTTGTCTTCTCTGTTTTATACTGCCTTCCCCGTGCCCATCTCCCAAGTTATAAGTGCTAATCGTAATGCCCCTTATTCCCCTTCTTTCTCCCTTCCCACCCACCCTCCCCAGTCCCTTTCCCTTTGGTAACTGTTCATTCTTGGGTTCTGTAAGTCTGCTGCTGTTTTGTTCCTTCTGTTTTTTCTTTGTTCTTATACTCCACAGATGAGTGAAATCATTTGATACTTATCTTTCTCCACCTGCAAAATAAAAATTTTGAAAATAAATAAATTAAATTAAATGAATTAAAAAATAGAATCACAGCTTTGCTGCCCCCACCCCCATGGGCTTGTCTGTGTCCATTTTGGGAAAAGTCGTGCACCAAGAGGAATGGGTGTATAACCAGAATTGTCAATCAAATGACCTCACCCTGTCAATCAAAGAGTTGCCTCTGCACTAGGTCATGATAAATAGAGCCCCCCTAAAAGTTCGGAGCCTTTGGGTACCTTGTCTGGCCCACTCCTCTCTTGGAGTGTATCCAAATAAAACTTTCGCTCTCCTTCACTACTGTGTCTCTGTCTTTCAATTCTTAGCTGTGGCTGACAGAAGAACCGAGGAAAACAATCTCAATCCATAACAGTAACAACTCAAAAGGGGATGGAAAAAGTAAAACAAATGCCTTGGGACATTTCTCATTAAGAATATAAGATTGCACCCATG